AGCCTTCCCCCCCAATCCTGGCTTTTTATTTGCAGTGCCCAGACGGCAGAAATCACAAATGATCCCCGCCCTCAATTTAAAACTTTTAACTACCTGACTGTTTCTACATTTTACTGTGTGCGGGGGTGAGCGTGTGTGTGCTAACTGAAGACAAACGGGAGAAGAAAGAGTGGCCAAATCAAAAGCCATGTGGAGTTTTCCCTGGGTTCTGGGGAGCGGTGGAGGAGTTGCCCGAAAAGTTTTTAATTTTTGATCGCTTTTTGTATGGCGCCACAATCAGCAACTAAAAGTATGCATTACGCTTGCTCCACGCCCACAGTGGCTGGCTCTCGAAAGCTGGCTGTTATGACATAAGCCGTGGGGATATATATTCTTAAAAGTAGGCAACGAACTTTGCTTTATAATTTTTGTGACTTTAACAGCCGATAGCTTAACAGTGGTGCGCTCTGTTAAACTTTGATGTTAGTTACATTGGAGATCAATATTATCCGAACAGTCAATGCCATTGTCTATCAGATACCCTTTACTCAGCTTACTGGGACCTCTCAGGGAGTGCGAGGAAGATAGAGACTTGCAAGTAGCAAAGCTTCTGTCCCCAAGCTTAATGAAGGGCCAGAGTTAAACAAGTGTTGGCATTGATAATCAAATACAAAATCTCATTTAAATTTTTCAAAAATATACAAAAATGTGGGTGCTAGACGGGTTTTAGCGTTTTGAGCGATTTTGGGAGTTAGAGTGGGGAAGAATCCACATGCCAAACCCCAACTTTCTAACTTTTGTAGTTTCCGAGATCTCAGCGTTCATACGGACGGACAGGCAGACGGACATGGATAGATCGACTGGGCTAGTGGTCCTGATTAAAAATATATGTTCTTAAAAGGGTTGGAAACGTCTCCGTTACTGCGTTGCAACCTTCTGACCGCAATCATTAGACCCTCTGCAAGGGTATTTACATTGCGATTCTTTTAACCCGTGACGTCGGTGAACCCCATTAACTTTAACCCTTACTTAAGATACTTTAGTTTTACCACTTTTAGATTTTCCCGCTAGTATAGGTAGGTATATTGAAATACTATAAACGCCCTCCTAACGTAATTTGTCTTTCTATTATAGTTTGAAAATGATGTTCAAACGTTTTTAAATCTTTTTTAAGTTTTTTTTGATTGTTAATAAATAGTTCATTGGATTTATTTTACTATGCCCCTTGAGATTCCTTAACTTGAAACATATAAGTCATTCTTGTAAAAAGATAGTTTATTTATTTTGTCGCAAGTAAATAATTTTTCGTCACAAAAGTTGATATCAGAACTTTTGTGCGTTGAAGGTGGGATCGTCATTATTTTGTACCTCGTAAAATGGTTTTTGTTTGGTTTTATTTTTAAACTATCACTGTGTATTTATTTTTATGACTAGTTATACTTTAGATTATTAGTTAAATAATAAATTAGGTTAATAAATTATACTATATTTCGAGGTAAGCTAATGTCAATATTGTCGTTGAGAAAAAGCTGTTGTAATTTTCAATTTCGAAATTATTTTCTAAATTCCCCACTCGTAGTTTCTAGATATCCCAACAAACATTTTTGTGACCTAATCCTTTGTTTTCTCTTTATAATTCTTCTGTCGAGCTCTCTTCGCTTGAAGTCTCTTTTTGGCCTTAAAGCTCCTGCCAAAGAGAAATGCTGAATGGAAGCCAAAGGACAAAGCTTTATCTCCCGCGAAAGAGAGCCAACTTCGTCCTGCCAGGCTTTTGGGTTAAAGTTTCCACAGAGATACGAAGTTCCGTATGTGTGTTAGCTATCTCCGCGGACCGGATTCGTGGCAGGATTTAATTCATAACTCGAGTGCCGTGTCCTCGGTGTACAGCCAAGGTTAAGTGCTGCTGCAGCGCCAAACACGTCACTTCTCAGGTCCTGGAGTTCTGAATCCTTCGGAGCAGGGTGTGGAGGATTTTTCCCCCGCCGCTGGGGACTCGCTTTTTCCTTTTCTTTTATTTTTGTGCTTCCCGCTACTTAAGCACGAGTCTCCCTACCAAAAAATGAGGTCTTTCCCTCTTCAGAGGAAGAGACCCCATAAACAATTGCCTGGAAATATAATACATCGTTGGTTTGGGTCGCTAGAACTTTTGCGTAGCTTTACACCCCCCCTGAAAAAAGGAGTCCCTTTTATTGAAATATTTTCATCACTGGCATGAACGAACCACAGACAAATTAAGTAAATGACGTTGACTCTAAAAAAACAGATGAGCATCCCACAATCCAGCATAATTAGACCTTGTCACGCCCAGCAAAAAAGTATATATACAAATGATTTGCATTAAGCTAGGCCGGGGAAATTTTAAAGCCTCGCTGACCTTTGGCGTATCATTTTTTAAACCAAAAACTCCCCACTGAAACCGAAACCTTTTTAATTTACACGACACGTTTCTTAGGCTTAAGCTTTTGTTGGCTGATTTTTTGGGGGGGAGTTGACCACCTTCAACGGTGCGATGGCCATAAGCAAAAAACGAAAGCAGTGCAAGAAATATTGGGGCAATCAAAAATGCAAATGTCACTACGTGAATTGTTAAATCGCAGGACAAATCCGTCCTTCAAAACAGACCCTAGGGGTTTCGACTGCGGGCGCGGCCAATAAATCTGCCTGAAATTCCAGCAAACACAAATTTATACTTACGAATATATTTTGGATTATTTATCGCAAAAAGTTAATTGCCTGGCCGTGCTCTCTATTAATCATATCCCGCAATTTGTTTAGCCTAATTAGCCATATAGATAGGCGGTTGAGGGAGGAATTAGCGCCCCTTTCGAGAGCATAAGGCCCAAGATACGTAGGCTGGGGTCATTAGCCAAGTTTTGGAAGAGTTTGGAAGTATTTTTTAGAGGCGTTAGCAAGTGGCCAGCACTGATTGGATTTCAGTGCAGACACAGTTCTTTTACTTATATTGTACACAATTGTATTACAGAAAGTAATCTACTATTAAATCACTGATATCAATTTTTACTTGAAATTAAACTCTGGGAATTCATCCATAAATTTGTCTATAGTTTTATTCTAAGCACTTATACAATTTTTCTGGAGTTTTATACTGTTCTAAAATAAATTTTAGAATTTAAAATCAGTGCAAAATATTAATAATGAAAAACATCTGCCGCAATATTGGTATTAACATTACACTTCCCTACACCTTTTGCATAATCAAATAAAGGAGAAACAAGAAAATAATCTTAGCAAACATTGGCCGGCACTTGTACTCCTCTTTCGCCGCATCCTGCATCAGATTTTGTGTTGCAGCCAACTCAAACATTAAGCGAAATGTCGCCTGGCCATTATTCAACCATTTTGCGCCTTGTCGACAAACAAAATTAACAGCCAGCAGAAAACATATACCGACAAACAAACAGCAGAAGGGAGCAGGAACGAGCATAAACAAGTCATAAAGTTTGGTAACTAGGCTCTGGGCCTCCTGGATGCAGGGCAACAAATTTTTCTGGGTGCTGTTCTGACGTAGTAACTTCATCTTGGCTGCAGCGGGTTACTTTTTAAATACCTTTTAAAGGATATGTGTTGTCTTACAAAAACTGAAATTTATGTTTTGAGGTACGATGTAGTAAGGTAGAGTGCACATATCATTATTTATCCTTTGACATTTAGAAATAAGTAAGGACTAACCATTTTTTTAAAAAAGAGCGAGGTTGTTTTTGAAAAAACAACCAAGAATGAGTGTAAAAATTTTCATATTTGATGTATATTTTAGACAACACCATTAAAAATGCGGCTCAGCAACTTATAAATAGCATTAAAGCTATGAGGTGCAAATATTTTTGTTGTTTATTGTTTGAAAGACAAGTTTTAGTAGACAATTTTTTTGCGCATGGTGACTTATTAGTAACGAATGCAGTTGCCCGTTAACCATTTTGAAAAGCATTAAGGTGTACCATATGCTCAACTGGTTTTAGAGGGTACAATTTATTCGACTCTATGCACCACGCCTTTTTTTTAACGTCACATTTCTACATGCGCGGGCTTTTTAATGCAAAATTCGTGTAGAGCTGGGCGATTCTTCTTTGCCCGCTCCCGGATTTCCACAGGCGAGGTTGTGTACCATTTTGCTTGTTTTTGCCATTAACAGCAATTACAAAATGGCAAACAAAATCCCAACCGACAAAAAAAGGGGCGTGGACTTTGGGCAAGGGCGAACTTTTAATTATTTAGACGAGAGAACGCAAAAGTCGCGTTTACACTTTTTCTACACTTTTTGCAAATATTTTTTGTTGGTTGCAGTTGCAGATTTTTTGGTTAGGGCGTGACTTTCACCTGGTAGGTAAACTTAATTATGCAGCGGGCTACTTCCCTCGGAATTTTCGGTTTTTGTAATCGCAAGTTGTAACTAATCAAATTAAAGGCCACCCATGCAAGGAAAAGCGTGCAGGAAAAAGGAAAGAAAGCGCCAACGCGCAAATCCTTGAGGATGTGGGGGATTTTCAGCCCTGTGCCAGGCGATAACATATGCCGGGGATTTTTTAGACTCTTCCTTTGGCTTTTGGCAGCTGGCAAGGAACTGCCATCTTCTATCTAAACGCGCGAACGCAAAATGGCCATTTAAATTGTGCATCAATGCATGAAATGCGCCATGAAAGCGTTTTAGATAAGGAAAAGCCCAAACTAACGAAAACCATACGCCCAAGAACTTGATGGTTGACACACTCAGAAAAAAGTTACAACGCCAATTCGTCAACCTACATTAAAATATTTATTTTAAATTTTCGAGTAGATGATGAAAATGGTGCCTCTTTTCGTATTTGTCAGTAAAATCGGTATGCAGTCGTCATGCTTCATAAGATCAAAGGCAAATATAGCGCAATAAATCCAGGTCTAAGAATCAGCTTTTATACGAATATAGCAATACGTGTGTTAATTTAAGCAAATAAAGAAATCAATAAATATACAATCAGTTACTAAAAAAATGACAGAGTTTAATAGTTGAGCATCATAATATTTTCGTCAATTATATTATTATATCACATTTTATTTGATTAGATGAAGAGAGGTGCGTGAGCAGGGGCGTAGCTAAGGGGGGCGGAGTAGGCCAAGGGGGAGGAATAGGCCAAAGGAGCAGCCAGAGGAGCAGCTGCGTACTTGGCGACCACTGGAGCAGCCACAGAAGCAATCACTGGAGCGGCGGCGATTCCATTGTAGTTCCTGGCGATCACCTGGCTGCTGGTGGCGGTCACGACTGGAGCAGGGGCAGCGTAGGCCAGGGGAGCAGAGTAGGCCAGTGGAGCAGTGTAGGCCAGAGGAGCACCCAGGAGACCGGGCTTGGCAGCAACGCAGGCAACGATGGCAAGGATAACAACAGCCTAAGGATAAAACAGTTAGAAAACTAGACTCAACATCAAATCTTCAAACTCACGGATTTGAACATTGTGATGGTTGATTTTTAGTGCTTTCGATTCGAAAACTTGAACTTGAGTGATGTCGTTCAACACATTGTGTCGCTATTTATACACCAAAGACTGCGTCTGTGACCTCAGGCCATCGAATCCATTGGCCACCAACAGATATTCCACATTCAGCAGTGGGAAATCACATAAAGTATGGTAAAGTGCAAACGCTAACAGGAGACTGTCGCAGCATTTAAATGAACTGAATGCGCACATGAGTCAGAGTGGAGTAAGGTTTTGGGTATAAATATGCTCGACCAAGAGCAGTTGGACATCAAACAGTTTCTAGCCTTCCGAAGAAGCAAATCAAAGAAATATATAGCCACCATGTTTAAATACGTAAGTTCTTCAAAAAGCAACTTCAGAGGATTATATTAACTCAATTGGCTTGTCCACAGGCTGTTGTCATCCTGGCCATCGTTGCCTGCGTTGCTGCCAAGCCCGGTCTCCTGGGTGCTCCCCTGGCCTACGCTGCCCCTGCTCCAGTCGTGACCGCCACCAGCAGCCAGGTGATCGCCAGGAACTACAATGGAATCGCCGCCGCTCCAGTGATTGCTCCCGTGGCTGCTCCAGTCCTCGCCAAGTACGCAGCTGCTCCTTTGGCTGCTCCTTTGGCCTATTCCTCCCCCTTGGCTTACTCCTCCCCCTTGGCTTACTCCGCCCCCCATAGCTACGCCGCTGCTCACGCACCACTGCTTATTTAAATCAAACTGTGATCACCTAGGAAAATACATATAAATATAATGTAAACGAATGTTGCCACAAAGAGTTTAGTTTTTTATATGGGTTGGTAAAAAGAAATGTCTTGTTTTAATATCCCGCCCCTAATTTTAGTAAATTTAGGTTGTTACGCGAATGTGCCATGCCCACCTTAACGCCCACTAACCGTCCATATGAACGCTGATATCTCGAACGCTGATTTCTCTCACTAGATCGATTCGGCTAGTGATATTGATCAAGAATATATATTGTATATGTACTTCATGGGATCGGAAACACTTTCTTCTACCTGTTCCACACTTAACCCAAAAAACTGTTAAAAAAAATGTTAACGCCCACAAACCGCCTACAAACTTTAAAAAATCGTTAACTTGAACGCCGATATCTTCAAAACTAATAAGATAGAGAATTGGGAATTCAGATTTAAATCTCATAGCTTTGTTAGCAAACATACCACGCCCACTCTGACGCCCAGAAGCCGCCAAAACTGTGGCCAACACAATTTTCATAATAGAAAACAAATTTTAACTAAAATGTATTTGCCAAGTCAATACTTATCATCAATACCTACCCTAAACAATATATTGAAATCGAGGGTAGGTGGCGCTTCACAATATCGCTTTGCTGCTTGCATATCTGATAGTCGAGGCACTAGAGTCGAGTCTAGCGTCCTTTCTTGTCTTATTAAGAACTGTTTCAGCTAGGGATTATCAAACGGCAGCCACACTGAAAGAGTTGTTGTTGTTGAAAAATTTGACGTCTGACAATTCAGTACAATATTTTTTTTCGCACGTGATAACGCTGAAAATTAAAGTGGATACCCTTTAGAACTTGGAAGGACATACCCCTGACTACAAGAGGAGTTTATAAAAGTCTTTTTCAGCGATGATAAGCTCAAGAAGATTACTTTATATGACAGTGGAACAACAGTACATTAGGCAGCCGCAATGAAGGACGCTAAGCAAGCCATAAAGACATGATGCCAACGAAGGCATCAAACAAGTCTTTGGACAGGTAGGCACTGTGATGATAGTGTTTTCCGTACTTACAGCTTCGATTTTCTTCCATTAAGCGCCTTAGTTCCGACAGTAGATCGAGAAAACCCCTTAGTCCTAGCAAACAGACACCTCCTCTGTACTTCTTTTGACCTGGTAGGCTATCTGCACTAAAATAGGTAAATAACTTGATTAATAAGACAAATTTTAGTACACCGATTTTAAAAACGTCGCCGCAAGTGATCGTCGACAAGAATCCAATGCCCCCACCAAATTCATCTAGGATAGTCAAGCCCCGCCGATTACCCAACAATTACAAGGTGAAACAGGAGCCGATAGAACGCAGGTCGGTGCCAAATCCTGCTGCCATCGGTAATGACACTAAGCTCGTTAATTACAGCAACTTCTGACACCATCCCCATCATATGCCATTTCTAGTCCATGAGAAGAGTGCCAAGCTAACGCCCACGAAACCAAGAGCCATTGATCTTAAACGAGAGATAGCCAAGGAGCAGATAAAGCCCTGATGTCCAGGAAGGTGCATCAAATCGTGTCCCCCGGAGAATGATTGGCAGACTAGCTCCACATTTCACCTTGAGGATGTTATTGACAGAAACATGTCAAAATACCCTTTAATAACTAGCCGAAAGCAGGTACAGTTTCTTCAGCATTTCGTCTCCCTCAGCCGTGGTCATGGCAAATACTTGGATCATTCCCGACTCGTAGAGTCTAGCTGAGACTCCGCACATTTCCTTATTCACATATTAGACGAAGTTCATTTCACGAAGGAGTGGTTCTGAGGATAGTGCGCAGACCTCACTAAATATCTGCAAATTTACGGTCCAAGGTTAGTTGGCACCGTAAAAGTAACGTAAGCATATGAGTGTAAGAGCCTTGAAATTCACCATTTCGATAGTCTTCGTCACGATATCGCTTTGGGTTTCGGCCAACATTGCGCTACTTCTTCAGTTGATAATCATCACAATGCCATTGACTCATATCCAGCCTATCTGATATCGCACTTCGATCACATCTGACATAGATGTTGGGCATATATGTCGGGTGTGATCGAAGTGCGACAGGAACAAGGAAACGCCCGGAATGACGGCTAGACTTTTTGAATCGGCAATGATGCCAGTGTTTCCCATGACCACGGCTGAGGCGGATGAAGTGTTGAAGAAACTGTTCCTGCTTTCGGCTAGTTATTAAAGGCTCGAAAAATGTACCGAAAGAAACAAAAAAATGTTCCATGATCGCGCAATCATTAATAGAATTCACTTCCATAATTCCGTGTAAGTAGCTTGGGGATATAAAAATGTTACTGTGGACGGCAGTGCACAGGAGACTACCATATATATTTAAAAAGCACAATGGAATCGTCGCTGCTCCAGTGGTCGCCAAGAACGCAGCTGCTCCTTTGGCCTATTCTTCATCTTTGGCTTACTACTCCCCCTTGGCCTACTCCGCCCCCCTTAGCTACGCCGCTGATCCAGCACCTCTCTTCATTTAATCAAATGTAAAATGTGATATATTATAATTGACGAAATTACAAAACTGTTGAAATTGAATGCAAGTTTTTACAATGTTCGTGTTTGTTAATCTGGGGGTCTTGACTATCCTGGATGAATATCTGCGGGACAATGCACATTCATTAGCGGTTATGAGTTTCCATTGAGGTCCAATTCCAAGCCGACACTCTTAAAATTAAAATAGTTGGTCCTCGATTTTAAAATAAGGGCACTAAAATGGTTTCAAAAACTTAAATTACTTACATAGTTTACTACATATAACTTCCCAGGGCAACCGGTTTAATTATTTCTGGATCTTCTATGGGCACTACGGCGGTAAATTGAAGAAAATTCAAATGTTATAAATACGGAAATGGTTCTAGCTTCCCAGCCTTAAATGGAAATATATTTACCGTTCCTACCCGTACAAAGAACTTTTTGACTCAGAATTTATTATTATTATTATTAAATATTTTATTGGTGCTTCCCGCAGTTGAAATATATATACATAATTAAAATATTATTGCTAATAAAAACAATCGGCATTGAACAAAATAGTGCTATTAAAAAAACAATTGCAATGGAAAAAGTAGTTTTACATAAAACATTTTGTTAGATTACCAAAACAAAAATGATACTAGCAATTCATTTTATTAGATTTTCAAAAAGTAATTCTATTGAGTCCCAAAAGTAATGCCATTACTAAGATGACCCAAAGTTATGCTACTGAAAATATATCTTAATAACATATGTATTTCGTTAGAATGCAAAAAGTAATGCTAGTGAAAAATACAACCCCAAAAAATAATATTAGGTACAATATTCTAACTAGCATAATTTTTTTAAAAGGATACTTTTTTTGTTAACTAAAAATTAGTATTTTTTAACCAAGGATTTAAATAAGTCGCGAATTGACTAGAAGTAGAAGTACCATTAAATTTAAAGCTGACTATTAATTTGAATCTTAGTTTTTTGTAGCTTTGAGGATTCAATGAACATGCGTTGTTATAATAAAATGAACTTTATTAGGTTTGCAACTGAAATTTAATTTGTGGTGTCACGGAACAATACATTTCAAAGCTTTTTAAAATATCCAACCAAGAGAAATCTTTATATTTGTAAAACATTTATTTGCTTTAAAAGTAACAAGCTTTTCAAAATGACATCCGATAAATTTTGGTTCTTTTTGCCGTTGAGCAACTCTAAATAGCTAAAGAGGCGCTCTTCTTGTGAATTAACAAATTTCCCAGGAACTTCAATGTATAATTAATGACCAGTAGCCATTGTTTTCGAAAGCGAGATAGCCAAGAAGCAGATGAGGCACCGATGTCAACGAAGGTGCATCAGTTTGCTTCCCCAGGAGAATGGGTGGCAGAATAGCTTTACAGTTCGCCACGAGGACTACGAGGACGTCGCAGACCAAAACATATGAAAATACAGGGATCCGGAAGCAAAAGAACTCCTCTTCATGAGGAATCAGCAATATAATTTCAAGGCCACGGAGCGTTTGGGGCGAACGTTGGTGTTTCCGCCCTTACCTGATCTTCGGGAGAACCTGCTCCAGATGAACTGGTAAGGGCGAAACAACCAACATTCTCCACAAATGCTTCGCCGACTTGGAGCCATATTACTGATTCCACTTGGAGTCGAGTTATTTGGCTTACTGGTTCCTGTACTCCGACATATTTTGGTCAATGATATCCTCGAAGTCCTCGAGGAAAGCTATAAATCCATTCTGCCATTCGTTCTCAGAGGGAAACATTCTGATCCACCTTCCTTGACAATGGGCTTTATCTGCTTGTAGGCAAGCTCGCTTTCCCAAATAATGGTTTCCGGTTCCGAGGACAGTAGCTTAGCACTCCCGTAATTGATTATGAATTGCAGTTGCTGGGTAATCGGGTTACCACACTGTTGAAACCAATCCTGAATTGCTGACTCATCTTGTGGCTTCGGCGGGACTGATCCAATATCTTTAACATCAAGAAGGGAAGTTATGGTCTAAGCTCATTCAGTTGCACTTCTTTAACGGCTTAACAATTATCTCTGGAATGTCATCTTTAGAAGAGGTTTCCGTGATGATGAACTGCGGCTCCACAGCATTAATTTATCGAGGTAGTTCTTCAATTACCATAACATCCGTTGCCTGCGTGGGAAGCAGATATTTAAGCCCTAACAGGTCAAACAGGACGTCCGGTTTTTCTCATAGTGTTTTGCTAAGCTTAATATCAAACTCTTCAATTTCGCTGTGATCTGCAGCGCTCACTCCTCACACTCCTCAATAGTTATGTGATTAAAGACGATTTCACCACCGTGAACGCGACGATACTGGGTACCATTGATAGACTTCCTGCCTATTTCCCGCCGCCGCATCAATTTTTTCTTGAACTCATTTTAAGGAAGACACCTCGGACATAAGACATTCCAGTTATTTTTAAGGTAACAATTCTGATTTCTTCTGACCTTTGATACAACATGCTTCCGACGGCGGCACCAAGCCCTCCTTAAGTTTTTGAAGTGCTTTCAAATATCCAGACATTCCCTGGATGCCAACATTCAAAACGACACTATAAAGACAAAACTTGTCGGGCAACGGTTCTACAATGGGGGTACTAAAATGGTTTTAAAAACTAAGTTATTAACATTATTTAATACAGATTGCTTACCAGGACAAAATACGTTAAGAGGAGTTGTCTGTTTGTAAGGCTTTTTTTATTGCTGCTCCTTCTATCGGTTAAAGGCGCTAAATGGAAGAAAAGCCATATGTTATAAATCCGGAAAACAATCTAGCTGATAGGCTTTTAAAATAAATAATTTGTTAGGTGCCTACCTGTCCAAAGACTTCTTTGACTCTTTATGGCTTGTAGAGGGTCCTCACTGTCACCTGAAGTAACCTTTTTCAGCGTAACATCGCTGAACAAATGAATTCTTGCAGTCAGTCGTATTTCCTTACCAATTCGACGGAGTCGTGCGAGAAAAAGTATTATACCGAATTTTCAAGCGTCAAATTTTTTGACAACTATTAGTGTGGCTGTGTTAGCAATTGCCATTTGATAATCCCCATCGGAAAGGGTTTTTAATTGAAATTAAGTTTAGGGTATTCCCTTAACTATTGTAAATCATTTTAGAAATTCAATTGAATTTATAAAGACCAGAGTTATTACCATATTTCATTAAAAGTCATTTTTAAACTATTTTGAAAATAAGCATTTCTGACACTTAGAGCTAGCAGCGTACACTGGATTATAAATTCTCGATCACCCCTGTGTCTGGACCCCCAGTTTCTGCTATACAATTTCACTTTTAAGCCCATTTGGGCTCACGGCTCCCAGCTTTGGGGGAAGCAAGCAACAGCAACATTCACACAACATCCACAGGGATCATGGCACACAGCCGGTTAAAGATGAAATATCAATATACAAAGAGGCGTACCATAAGACTCTTACACTGCACACAAATATTCTCGCAAGGAATCTATCACGGGTTTCGAACAGAGACTAAAATGCGCCACCTACCCCTGATCTCAATATATGGTTATGTGGTCGGTAGACAGACTTAAGCGTTATGGGCGTTAGATTGGGCGTGGTAAACTTTTTTTGGGTCAATCCATGGGTACTGATGACAACAATTTATTTCAGCTTAAATTTTTACTCTAGCATCAAAACTGTAGGAGCCACAGTTCCCGGCGGTTTGTGGGCGTTAAAGTGGGCGTGGAACGCTGCTGACTTGCGCTGCGTAAGAAGCTCAGGAATCTGCATGCCCATTCTCAATAGCCTAGCTTTTGTAGTTTCCGAGATCTTAGCGTTCATCCGGACGAACGGACAGACGGACATGGCTAGATCGACTCGGCTAGTGATCCTGATCAAGAATATATATATATATATATGTTACATACTTTCCGACGAATCTAGTATGCCCTTTTACTCTACGAGTAACGGGTATAACAAGAAAATGCATGTGGTGTGCATATATATAATATATACTTTATAAGGTCGTAAACATACTTTCCGACAAATGTAGTCCACCCTTTTTCTTTACGAGCAACGGGTATAAAAAATAGGTATTCATTTTTGTACTGCACGTACATTCCTAGATACTTCTAAATAAAATAACTAAAAACTAATGAAAAAAAAGGGTTCATCATTAGTCAACCATCTGACATTCCAAGTGGACTTTCATTTCGAGTACACCTCTTTTGACGCATCGGTTAAAAACAACGCGTGGGCGTAAAATCTTTCCAAAAGTTCAGAGATAAGGTTAAGAACCATCTGTTTGTTTGAAATCTTGATCAACTCAGCACAAACCGATATATTCTTCTACCGGTAAACTAGCAAATGCCAGCGACAAACACACTACGCAGCACTGGGTTGAAAAATCTTTCTGGCAAAAATCGTTTATATTAAATTTATTTGTATTCTCCTAGGTGATCACAGTTTGATTTAAATAAGCAGTGGTGCGTGAGCAGCGGCGTAGCTAAGGGGGGCGGAGTAAGCCAAGGGGGAGGAGTACGCCAGGGGGAAGGAATAGGCCAAAGGAGCAGCCAGAGGAGCAGCTGCGTATTTGGCGACGACTGGAGCAGCCACGGGAGCAATCACTGGAGCGGCGGCGATTCCATTGTAGTTCCTGGCGATCACCTGGCTGCTGGTGGCGGTCACGACTGGAGCAGGGGCAGCGTAGGCCAGGGGAGCAGAGTAGGCCAGGGGAGAAGTGTAGGCCAGCGGAGCACCCAGGAGACCGGGCTTGGCAGCAACGCAGGCAACGATGGCAAGGAAGACAACAGCCTAAGGATAAAAAAGATTTAGAAAACTAGACTCAATATCAAATCTTCAAACTCACGGATTTGAACATTGTGATGGTTGATTTTTAGTGCTTTCGATTCGAAAACTTGAACTTGTCTGATGTCGTTCAACACTTTATGTCGCTATTTATAAACCAAAGACTGCGTCTGTGACCTCAGGCCATCGAATCCATTGGCCACCAACAGATATTCCACATTCAGCAGTGGGAAATCACATAAAGTATGGTAAAGTGCAAACGGTAACGGGAGACTGCCGCAGCATTTAAATGAACTGAATGCGCACATGAGTCAGAGCGGAGTAAGGTTTTGGGTATAAATATGCTTCACCAAGAGCAGTTGGACATCAAACAGTTTCTAGCCTTCCGAAGAAGCAAATCAAAGAAATATATAGCCACCATGTTTAAATACGTAAGTTCTTCAAAAAGCAACTTCAGAGGATTATATTAACTCAATTGGCTTGTCCACAGGCTGTTGTCATCCTGGCCATCGTTGCCTGCGTTGCTGCCAAGCCCGGACTCCTGGGTGCTCCTCTGGCCTACACTGCTCCCCTGGCCTACTCTGCTCCCCTGGCCTACGCTGCCCCTGCTCCAGTCGTGACCGCCACCAGCAGCCAGGTGATCGCCAGGAACTACAATGGAATCGCCGCCGCTCCAGTGATTGCTCCCGTGGCTGCTCCAGTGGTCGCCAAGTACGCAGCTGCTCCTCTGGCTGCTCCTTTGGCCTATTCCTCCCCCTTGGCTTACTCCTCCCCCTTGGCTTACTCCGCCCCCCATAGCTACGCCGCTGCTCACGCACCACTGTTTATCTAAATCAAACTGTGATCATTTAGGAAAATACATATAAATATAATATAAACAAATGTTGCCACAAAGAGTTTAGTTTTTATATGGGTTGGTAAAAAAGAAATGACTTGTTTTAATATCCCGCCCCTAACTTGGTTCGTTACGCAAATGTGCCACGCCCACTCTTACGCCCATATACCGTCCATATGAACGCTTATAGCTCGAAAAAGGTTGAGAGTTGGGACTTCAGATTTAGATTCCTTATCTTCATACGCAGCGCCAGAGATTGCGAGATGGTAAAGAAGTCAATATATTGTAAGACAGATTTAAGATTTAAGCGTTATGGGCGTTTTTGGGCGTTAAAATGGGCGTGGCAAACTTTTATTAGGTCAGTTGATAGGTATCGAGATCACAGCGTTCACACGGACATGGCCAGATCTTTTCGGTTAGTGATATTAATCAAGAATATATATTGTATATGTACTCTACTCTTTCTTCTACCTGTTCCACACTTTACCCAAAAAACTATATACTTTTTACTCTAAGAGTAATAGGTATAAAAATGATACTAAAATGTTACACAGTTGCCATGCCTTCTTTATGAAGTACTGTAATAGCTCTAGATTTAAATTGTTAAATTGCTAAAATGTTTAAAAAATTGAGTTTGTATGAAGCACATGATCACCAGCTGACCAAGATTTGCTACAGTTCAGGGAATATCCTAAACATAATTATAATTTTTATAATTTTAATTTATAATTTGGGAAAAAGTATGTAATAGGTAGAAGGAAGTGCCTCCGACTCCATAAATAAAATGTATTCTTGATCCGCATTACCAGCCGAGTCGATCTAGCCATGTCCGTCTGTCCGTGTGAACGCTGTGATCTCGGAAACTACACGAGCTAGAAGGTTGAGATTTCAGATATAAATTCCTTATTTTGTTATGCCAACATGCCCCACCTACTCGGGCACCCTTGAACCGCCCAAAACTGTGGCTCCTATAGTTTTAGTGCTACAAAAATGTTAACGCTAACAAATCGCCCACAAACTTTAAAAAATCGTTAACTTGAACGCCGATATCTTCAAAACTATTAAGATAGAGAATTGGGAATTCAGATTTAAATCTCATAGCTTTTTTAGCAAACATACCACGCCCACTCTGACGCCCACAAGCCGCCCAAAAATGTGGTCATCACAATTTTCATGATAGAAAAAAAAATTTAACTGAAATGCATACGCCAATTCGATACTTATCGTCAATACCTACCCTAAACAATATATTGAAATCGAGGGTAGGTGGCGCTTTGCTGCTTGCATATCTGATAATCAAGGCATTAGAATCTAGCGTTATTTCTTGTTTTATTAAGAACTGTTTTAGCTTGGGATTATCCAACGTCAATTGCTAGGGCAGCCACACTGAATGAGTTGTTGTTGTTGAAAAATTGACGTCTGAATATTCAGTAGAATATTTTTTCTTCCACGTTATTACGTCCGCTGAAAATTAAAGTGGATACTCCTTAAAATTTGAAAGGACATACCCCTGACTACAAGAGGAGTTTATAAAAGTAATTTTCAGCGATGATATGCTGAAGAAGATTACTTCATATGACAGTGGAACAGCAGTACATTAGGCAGCCGCAATGAAGGACGCTAAGCAAGCCATAAGGACAGGACAAGCGTATGAATTCTTAGTCAAACAAGTCTTTGGACAGGTAGGCATTGTGATGATAGTGTTTTCCGTACTTACAACATCGATTTTCTTCCATTAAGCGCTTTAGTGCCGACAGTAGATCGAGAAAACCCCTTAGCCCTTGCAAACAGACACCTCCTCTGTACTTCTTTTGACCTGGTAAGCTATCTGCACTAAAATAGGTAAATAACTGATTAATAAAACAACATTTTAGTACACCGATTGTAAAAACGTCGCCGCAAGTGATCGTCGACAAGAATCCAATGCCCCCACCAAATTCATCTAGGATAGTCAAGCCCCGCCGATTACCCAACAATTACAAGGTGAAACAGGAGCCGATAGAACGCAGGTCGGTGCCAAATCCTGCTGACACCATCCCCATCATATGCCATTTCTAGTCAATGAGAAGAGTGCCAAGCTAACGCCCACGAAACCAAGAGCCATTGATCTTAAACGAGAGATAGCCAAGGAGCAGATAAAGGCCTGATGTCCAGGAAGGTGCATCAAATCGTGTCCCCCGGAGAATGATTGGCAGACTAGCTCCACATTTCACCTTGAGGATGTCATTGACAGAAACATGTCAAAATACCCTTTAATAACTAGCCGAAAGCAGGTACAGTTTCTTCAGCATTTCGTCTCCCTCAGCCGTGGTCATGGCAAACACTTGGATCATTCCCGACTCGTAGAGTCTAGCTGAGACTCCGCACATTTCCTTATTCACATATTAGACGAAGTTCATTTCACGAAGGAGTGGTTCTGAGGAAAGGGCGCAGACCTCACTAAATATCTGCAAATTTACGGTCCAAGGTTAGTTGGCACCGTAAAAGTAACGTAAGCATATGAGTGTAAGAGCCTTGAAATTCACCATTTCGATAGTCTTCGTCACGATATCGCTTTGGGTTTCGGCCAACATTGCGCTACTTCTTCAGTTGATAATCATCACAATGCCATTGACTCATATCCAGCCTATCTGATATCGCACTTCGATCACATCTGACATAGATGTTGGGCATATATGTCGGGTGTGATCGAAGTGCGACAGGAACAAGGAAACGCCCGGAATGACGGCTAGACTTTTTGAATCGGCAATGATGCCAGTGTTTCCCATGACCACGGCTGAGGCGGATGAAGTGTTGAAGAAACTGTTCCTGCTTTCGGCTAGTTATTAAAGGCTCGAAAAATGTACCGAAAGAAACAAAAAAATGTTCCATGATCGCGCAATCATTAATAGAATTCACTTCCATAATTCCGTGTAAGTAGCTTGGGGATATAAAAATGTTACTGTGGACGGCAGTGCACAGGAGACTACCATATATATTTAAAAAGCACAATGGAATCGTCGCTGCTCCAGTGGTCGCCAAGAACGCAGCTGCTCCTTTGGCCTATTCTTCATCTTTGGCTTACTACTCCCCCTTGGCCTACTCCGCCCCCCTTAGCTACGCCGCTGATCCAGCACCTCTCTTCATTTAATCAAATGTAAAATGTGATATATTATAATTGACGAAATTACAAAACTGTTGAAATTGAATGCAAGTTTTTACAATGTTTGTGTTTGTTAATCTGGGGGTCTTGACTATCCTGGATGAATATCTGCGGGACAATGCACATTCATTAGCGGTTATGAGTTTCCATTGAGGTCCAATTCCAAGCCGACACTCTTAAAATTAAAATAGTTGGTCCTCGATTTTAAAATAAGGGCACTAAAATGGTTTCAAAAACTTAAATTACTTACATAGTTTACTACATATAACTTCCCAGGGCAACCGGTTTAATTATTTCTGGATCTTCTATGGGCACTACGGCGGTAAATTGAAGAAAATTCAAATGTTATAAATACGGAAATGGTTCTAGCTTCCCAGCCTTAAATGGAAATATATTTACCGTTCCTACCCGTACAAAGAACTTTTTGACTCAGAATTTATTATTATTATTATTAAATATTTTATTGGTGCTTCCCGCAGTTGAAATATATATACATAATTAAAATATTATTGCTAATAAAAACAATCGGCATTGAACAAAATAGTGCTATTAAAAAAACAATTGCAATGGAAAAAGTAGTTCTACATAAACCATTTTGTTAGATTACCAAAAAAATAATGATACTAAAAATTCATTTTATTAGATTTTCAAAAAGTAATTCTATTGAGTCCCAAAAGTAATGCCATTACTAAGATGACCCAAAGTTATGCTACTGAAAATATATCTTAATAACATATGTATTTCGTTAGAATGCAAAAAGTAATGCTAGTGAAAAATACAGCCCCAAAAAATAATATTAGGTACAATATTCTAACTAGCATAATTTTTTAAAAGGATACTTTTTTTGTTAACTAAAAATTAGTATTTTTTACCAAGTATTTAAATAAGTCGCGAATTGACTAGAAGTAGAAGTACCAATAAATTTAAAGCTGACTATTAATTTGAATCTTAGTTTGATGTAGCTTTGAGGATTCAAAGAATATGCGTTGTTATAATAAAATGAACTTTATTAGGTTTGCAACTGAAATTTAATTTGTGGTGTCACGGAACAATACATTTCAAAGCTTTTTAAAATATCCAACCAAGAGAAATCTTTATATTTGTAAAACATTTATTTGCTTTAAAAATAACAAGCTTTTCAAAATGACATCCGATAAATTTTGGTTCTTTTTGCCGATGAGCATCTCTAAATAGCTAAAGAGGCGCTCTTCTTGTGAATTAACAAATTTCCCAGGAACTTCAATGTATAATTAATGACCAGTAGCCATTGTTTTCGAAAGCGAGATAGCCAAGAAGCAGATGAGGCACCGATGTCAACGAAGGTGCATCAGTTTGCTTCCCCAGGAGAATGGGTGGCAGAATAGCTTTACAGTTCGCCACGAGGACTACGAGGACGTCGCTGACCAAAACATGTGGAAATACAGGGATCCGGAAGCAAAAGAACTCCTCTTCATGAGGAATCAGTAATATAATTTCAAGGGCGCGGAGCGTTTGGGGCGAACGTTGGTGTTTCCGCCCTTACCTGATCTTCGGGAGAACCTGCTCCAGATGAACTGGTAAGGGCGAAACAACCAACATTCTCCACAAATGCTTCGCCGACTTCGAGTCATATTACTGATTCCACTTGGAGTCGAGTTATTTGGCTTACTGGTTCCTGTACTCCGACATATTTTGGTCAATGATATCCTCGAAGTCCTCGAGGAAAGCTATGAATCCATTCTGCCATTCGTTCTCAGAGGGAAACATTCTGATCCACCTTCCTGGACAATGGGCTTTATCTGCTTCTAGGCAAGCTCGCTTTCCTAAATAATGGCTTCCGGTTCCGAGGACAGTAGCTTAGCACTCCCGTAATTGATTATGAATTGCAGTTGCTGGGTAATCGGGTTACTACACTGTTGAAACCAATCCTGAATTGCTGACTCATCTTGTGGCTTCGGCGGGACTGATCCAATATCTTTAACATCAAGAAGGGAAGTTATGGTCTAAGCTCATTCAGTTGCACTTCTCTAACGGCTTAACAATTATCTCAGGAATGCCATCTTTAGAAGAGGTTTCCGTGATGATTTCATCGTTGACACGATGACACGATTCTGAACTGCTGCTCCACAGCATTAATTTATCGAGGTAATTCTTCAATTACCATAACATCCGTTGCCTGCGTGGGAAGAAGATATTTAAGCTCTAACAGGTCAAACAGGACGTCCGGTTTTTCTCATGGTGTTTTGCTAAGCTTAATATCAAACTCTTCAATTTCGCTGTGATCTGCAGCGCTCACGCCTCACCCATAGTTATGTGATTAAAGACGATTTCACCACCGTAAACGCGACGATACTGGGTATCATTGATAGACTTCCTGCCTATTTCCCGCCGCCGTATCAATTTTTTCTTGAACTCATTTTGAGGAAGACCCCTCGGACATAAGACATTCCAGTTATTTTTAAGGTAACAATTCTGATTTCTTCTGACCTTTGATACAACATGCTTCCGACGGCGGCACCAAGCCCTCCTTAAGTTTTTGAAGTGCTTTCAAATATCCAGACATTCCCTGGATGCCAACATTCAAAACGACACTATAAAGACAAAACTTGTCGGGCAACGGTTCTACAATGGGGGTACTAAAATGGTTTTAAAAACTAAGTTATTAACATTATTTAATACAGATTGCTTACCAGGACAAAATACGTTAAGAGGAGTTGTCTGTTTGTAAGGCTTTTTTTATTGCTGCTCCTTCTATCGGTTAAAGGCGCTAAATGGAAGAAAAGCCATATGTTATAAATCCGGAAAACAATCTAGCTGATAGGCTTTTAAAATAAATAATTTGTTAGGTGCCTACCTGTCCAAAGACTTCTTTGACTCTTTATGGCTTGTAGAGGGTCCTCACTGTCACCTGAAGTAACCTTTTTCAGCGTAACATCGCTGAACAAATGAATTCTTGCAGTCAGTCGTATTTCCTTACCAATTCGACGGAGTCGTGCGAGAAAAAGTATTATACCGAATTTTCAAGCGTCAAATTTTTTGACAACTATTAGTGTGGCTGTGTTAGCAATTGCCATTTGATAATCCCCATCGGAAAGGGTTTTTAATTGAAATTAAGTTTAGGGTATTCCCTTAACTATTGTAAATCATTTTAGAAATTCAATTGAATTTATAAAGACCAGAGTTATTACCATATTTCATTAAAAGTCATTTTTAAACTATTTTGAAAATAAGCATTTCTGACACTTAGAGCTAGCAGCGTACACTGGATTATAAATTCTCGATCACCCCTGTGTCTGGACCCCCAGTTTCTGCTATACAATTTCACTTTTAAGCCCATTTGGGCTCACGGCTCCCAGCTTTGGGGGAAGCAAGCAACAGCAACATTCACACAACATCCACAGGGATCATGGCACACAGCCGGTTAAAGATGAAATATCAATATACAAAGAGGCTTACCATAAGACTCTTACACTGCACACAAATATTCTCGCAAGGAATCTATCACGGGTTTCGAACAGAGACTAAAATGCGCCACCTACCCCTGATCTCAATATATGGTTATGTGGTCGGTAGACAGACTTAAGCGTTATGGGCGTTAGATTGGGCGTGGTAAACTTTTTTTGGGTCAATCCATGGGTACTGATGACAACAATTTATTTCAGCTTAAATTTTTACTCTAGCATCAAAACTGTAGGAGCCACAGTTCCCGGCGGTTTGTGGGCGTTAAAGTGGGCGTGGAACGCTGCTGACTTGCGCTGCGTAAGAAGCTCAGGAATCTGCATGCCCATTCTCAATAGCCTAGCTTTTGTAGTTTCCGAGATCTTAGCGTTCATCCGGACGAACGGACAGACGGACATGGCTAGATCGACTCGGCTAGTGAACCTGATCAAGAATATATATACTTGATGGGGTCGGAAACGCTTCCTTCTGCCTGTTACATACTTTCCGACGAATCTAGTATGCCCTTTTACTCTACGAGTAACGGGTAGAACAAGAAAATGCATGTGGTGTGCATATATATAATATATACTTTATGAGGTCGGAAACATACTTTCCCCTGCTCCAGTCGTGACCGCCACCAGCAGCCAGGTGATCGCCAGGAACTACAATGGAATCGCCGCCGCTCCAGTGATTGCTCCCGTGGCTGCTCCAGTCGTCGCCAAATACGCAGCTGCTCCTCTGGCTGCTCCTTTGGCCTATTCCTTCCCCCTGGCGTACTCCTCCCCCTTGGCTTACTCCGCCCCCCTTAGCTACTCCGCTGCTCACGCACCACTGCTTATTTAAATCAAACTGTGATCACCTAGGAGAATACAAATAAATTTAATATAAACGATTTTTGCCAGAAAGATTTTTCAACCCAGTGCTGCGTAGTGTGTTTGTCGCTGGCATTTGCTAGTTTACCGGTAGAAGAATATATCGGTTTGTGCTGAGTTGATCAAGATTTCAAACAAACAGATGGTTCTTAACCTTATCTCTGAACTTTTGGAAAGATTTTACGCCCACGCGTTGTTTTTAACCGATGCGTCAAAATAGGTGTACTCGAAATGAAAGTCCACTTGGAATGTCAGATGGTTGACTAATGATGAACCCTTTTTTTTCATTAGTTTTTAGTTATTTTATTTAGAAGTATCTAGGAATGTACGTGCAGTACAAAAATGAATACCTATTTTTTATACCCGTTGCTCGTAAAGAAAAAGGGTGGACTACATTTGTCGGAAAGTATGTTTACGACCTTATAAAGTATATATTATATATATGCACACCACATGCATTTTCTTGTTATACCCGTTACTCGTAGAGTAAAAGGGCATACTAGATTCGTCGGAAAGTATGTAACATATATATATATATATATTCTTGATCAGGATCACTAGCCGAGTCGATCTAGCCATGTCCGTCTGTCCGTTCGTCCGGATGAACGCTAAGATCTCGGAAACTACAAAAGCTAGGCTATTGAGAATGGGCATGCAGATTCCTGAGCTTCTTACGCAGCGCAAGTCAGCAGCGTTCCACGCCCACTTTAACGCCCACAAACCGCCGGGAACTGTGGCTCCTACAGTTTTGATGCTAGAGTAAAAATTTAAGCTGAAATAAATTGTTGTCATCAGTACCCATGGATTGACCCAAAAAAAGTTTACCACGCCCAATCTAACGCCCATAACGCTTAAGTCTGTCTACCGACCACATAACCATATATTGAGATCAGGGGTAGGTGGCGCATTTTAGTCTCTGTTCGAAACCCGTGATAGATTCCTTGCGAGAATATTTGTGTGCAGTGTAAGAGTCTTATGGTAAGCCTCTTTGTATATTGATATTTCATCTTTAACCGGCTGTGTGCCATGATCCCTGTGGATGTTGTGTGAATGTTGCTGTTGCTTGCTTCCCCCAAAGCTGGGAGCCGTGAGCCCAAATGGGCTTAAAAGTGAAATTGTATAGCAGAAACTGGGGGTCCAGACACAGGGGTGATCGAGAATTTATAATCCAGTGTACGCTGCTAGCTCTAAGTGTCAGAAATGCTTATTTTCAAAATAGTTTAAAAATGACTTTTAATGAAATATGGTAATAACTCTGGTCTTTATAAATTCAATTGAATTTCTAAAATGATTTACAATAGTTAAGGTAATACCCTAAACTTAATTTCAATTAAAAACCCTTTCCGACGGGGATTATCAAATGGCAATTGCTACAGCCACACTAATAGTTGTCAAAAAATTTGACGCTTGAAAATTCGGTATAATACTTTTTCTCGCACGACTCCGTCGAATTGGTAAGGAAATACGACTGACTGCAAGAATTCATTTGTTCAGCGATGTTATGCTGAAAAAGGTTAATTCAGGTGACAGTGAGGACCCTTTACAAGCCATAAAGAGTCAAAGAAGTCTTTGGACAGGTAGGCACCTAACAAATTATTTATATATAAAGCCTATCAGCTAGATTGTTTTCCGGATTTATAACATATGGCTTTTCTTCCATTTAGCGCCTTTAACCGATAGAAGGAGCAGCAATAAAAAAAGCCTTACAAACAGACAACTCCTCTTAATGTATTTTGTCCTGGTAAGCAATCTGTATTAAATAATGTTAATAACTTAGTTTTTAAAACCATTTTAGTACCCCCATTGTAGAACCGTTGCCCGACAAGTTTTGTCTTTATAGTGTCGTTTTGAATGTTGGCATCCAGGGAATGTCTGGATATTTGAAAGCACTTCAAAAACTTAAGGAGGGCTTGGTGCCGCCGTCGGAAGCATGTTGTATCAAAGGTCAGAAGAAATCAGAATTGTTACCTTAAAAATAACTGGAATGTCTTATGTCCGAGGGGTCTTCCTTAAAATGAGTTCAAGAAAAAATTGATGCGGCGGCGGGAAATAGGCAGGAAGTCTATCAATGGTACCCAGTATCGTCGCGTTCACGGTGGTGAAATCGTCTTTAATCACATAACTATTGAGGAGTGTGAGGAGTGAGCGCTGCAGATCACAGCGAAATTGAAGAGTTTGATATTAAGCTTAGCAAAACACTATGAGAAAAACCGGACGTCCTGTTTGACCTGTTAGGGCTTAAATATCTGCTTCCCACGCAGGCAACGGATGTTATGGTAATTGAAGAACTACCTCGATAAATTAATGCTGTGGAGCCGCAGTTCATCATCACGGAAACCTCTTCTAAAGATGACATTCCAGAGATAATTGTTAAGCCGGTCAAGAAGTGCAACTGAATGAGCTTAGACCATAACTTCCCTTCTTGATGTTAAAGATATTGGATCAGTCCCGCCGAAGCCACAAGATGAGTCAGCAATTCAGGATTGGTTTCAACAGTGTGGTAACCCGATTACCCAGCAACTGCAATTCATAATCAATTACGGGAGTGCTAAGCTACTGTCCTCGGAACCGGAAACCATTATTTGGGAAAGCGAGCTTGCCTACAAGCAGATAAAGCCCATTGTCAAGGAAGGTGGATCAGAATGTTTCCCTCTGAGAACGAATGGCAGAATGGATTTATAGCTTTCCTCGAGGACTTCGAGGATATCATTGACCAAAATATGTCGGAGTACAGGAACCAGTAAGCCAAATAACTCGACTCCAAGTGGAATCAGTAATATGGCTCCAAGTCGGCGAAGCATTTGTGGAGAATGTTGGTTGTTTCGCCCTTACCAGTTCATCTGGAGCAGGTTCTCCCGAAGATCAGGTAAGGGCGGAAACACCAACGTTCGCCCCAAACGCTCCGTGGCCTTGAAATTATATTGCTGATTCCTCATGAAGAGGAGTTCTTTTGCTTCCGGATCCCTGTATTTTCATATGTTTTGGTCTGCGACGTCCTCGTAGTCCTCGTGGCGAACTGTAAAGCTATTCTGCCACCCATTCTCCTGGGGAAGCAAACTGATGCACCTTCGTTGACATCGGTGCCTCATCTGCTTCTTGGCTATCTCGCTTTCGAAAACAATGGCTACTGGTCATTAATTATACATCGAAGTTCCTGGGAAATTTGTTAATTCACAAGAAGAGCGCCTCTTTAGCTATTTAGATATGCTCATCGGCAAAAAGAACCAAAATTTATCGGATGTCATTTTGAAAAGCTTGTTATTTTTAAAGCAAATAAATGTTTTACAAATATAAAGATTTCTCTTGGTTGGATATTTTAAAAAGCTTTGAAATGTATTGTTCCGTGACACCACAAATTAAATTTCAGTTGCAAACCAAATAAAGTTCATTTTATTATAACAACGCATATTCTTTGAATCCTCAAAGCTACAACAAACTAAGATTCAAATTAATAGTCAGCTTTAAATTTAATGGTACTTCTACTTCTAGTCAATTCGCGACTTATTTAAATACTTGGTAAAAAATACTAATTTTTAGTTAACAAAAAAAGTATCCTTTTAAAAAAATTATGCTAGTTAGAATATTGTACCTAATATTATTTTTTGGGGTTGTATTTTTCACTAGCATTACTTTTTGCATTCTAACGAAATACATATGTTATTAAGATATATTTTCAGTAGCATAACTTTGGGTCATCTTAGTAATGGCATTACTTTTGGGACTCAATAGAATTACTTTTTGAAAATCTAATAAAATGAATTTTTAGTATCATTATTTTTTTGGTAATCTAACAAAATGGTTTATGTAGAACTACTTTTTCTATTGCAATTGTTTTTTTAATAGCACTATTTTGTTCAATGCCGATTGTTTTTATTAGCAATAATATTTTAATTATGTATATTTATTTCAACTGCGGGAAGCACCAATAAAATATTTAATAATAATAATAATAAATTCTGAGTCAAAAAGTTCTTTGTACGGGTAGGAACGGTAAATATATTTCCATTTAAGGCTGGGAAGCTAGAACCATTTCCGTATTTATAACATTTGAATTTTCTTCAATTTACCGCCGTAGTGCCCATAGAAGATCCAGAAATAATTAAACCGGTTGCCCTGGGAAGTTATATGTAGAAAACTATGTAAGTAATTTAAGTTTTTGAAACCATTTTAGTGCCCTTATTTTAAAATCGAGGACCAACTATTTTAATTTTAAGAGTGTCGGCTTGGAATTGGACCTCAATGGAAACTCTTAACCGCTAATGAATGTGCATTGTCCCGCAGATATTCATCCAGGATAGTCAAGACCCCCAGATTAACAAACACGAACATTGTAAAAACTTGCATTCAATTTCAACAGTTTTGTAATTTCGTCAATTATAATATATCACATTTTACATTTGATTAAATGAAGAGAGGTGCTGGATCAGCGGCGTAGCTAAGGGGGGCGGAGTAGGCCAAGGGGGAGTAGTAAGCCAAAGATGAAGAATAGGCCAAAGGAGCAGCTGCGTTCTTGGCGACCACTGGAGCAGCGACGATTCCATTGTGCTTTTTAAATATATATGGTAGTCTCCTGTGCACTGCCGTCCACAGTAACATTTTTATATCCCCAAGCTACTTACACGGAATTATGGAAGTGAATTCTATTAATGATTGCGCGATCATGGAACATTTTTTTGTTTCTTTCGGTACATTTTTCGAGCCTTTAATAACTAGCCGAAAGCAGGAACAGTTTCTTCAACACTTCATCCGCCTCAGCCGTGGTCATGGGAAACACTGGCATCATTGCCGATTCAAAAAGTCTAGCCGTCATTCCGGGCGTTTCCTTGTTCCTGTCGCACTTCGATCACACCCGACATATATGCCCAACATCTATGTCAGATGTGATCGAAGTGCGATATCAGATAGGCTGGATATGAGTCAATGGCATTGTGATGATTATCAACTGAAGAAGTAGCGCAATGTTGGCCGAAACCCAAAGCGATATCGTGACGAAGACTATCGAAATGGTGAATTTCAAGGCTCTTACACTCATATGCTTACGTTACTTTTACGGTGCCAACTAACCTTGGACCGTAAATTTGCAGATATTTAGTGAGGTCTGCGCCCTTTCCTCAGAACCACTCCTTCGTGAAATGAACTTCGTCTAATATGTGAATAAGGAAATGTGCGGAGTCTCAGCTAGACTCTACGAGTCGGGAATGATCCAAGTGTTTGCCATGACCACGGCTGAGGGAGACGAAATGCTGAAGAAACTGTACCTGCTTTCGGCTAGTTATTAAAGGGTATTTTGACATGTTTCTGTCAATGACATCCTCAAGGTGAAATGTGGAGCTAGTCTGCCAATCATTCTCCGGGGGACACGATTTGATGCACCTTCCTGGACATCAGGCCTTTATCTGCTCCTTGGCTATCTCTCGTTTAAGATCAATGGCTCTTGGTTTCGTGGGCGTTAGCTTGGCACTCTTCTCATTGACTAGAAATGGCATATGATGGGGATGGTGTCAGCAGGATTTGGCACCGACCTGCGTTCTATCGGCTCCTGTTTCACCTTGTAATTGTTGGGTAATCGGCGGGGCTTGACTATCCTAGATGAATTTGGTGGGGGCATTGGATTCTTGTCGACGATCACTTGCGGCGACGTTTTTACAATCGGTGTACTAAAATGTTGTTTTATTAATCAGTTATTTACCTATTTTAGTGCAGATAGCTTACCAGGTCAAAAGAAGTACAGAGGAGGTGTCTGTTTGCAAGGGCTAAGGGGTTTTCTCGATCTACTGTCGGCACTAAAGCGCTTAATGGAAGAAAATCGATGTTGTAAGTACGGAAAACACTATCATCACAATGCCTACCTGTCCAAAGACTTGTTTGACTAAGAATTCATACGCTTGTCCTGTCCTTATGGCTTGCTTAGCGTCCTTCATTGCGGCTGCCTAATGTACTGCTGTTCCACTGTCATATGAAGTAATCTTCTTCAGCATATCATCGCTGAAAATTACTTTTATAAACTCCTCTTGTAGTCAGGGGTATGTCCTTTCAAATTTTAAGGAGTATCCACTTTAATTTTCAGCGGACGTAATAACGTGGAAGAAAAAATATTCTACTGAATATTCAGACGTCAATTTTTCAACAACAACAACTCATTCAGTGTGGCTGCCCTAGCAATTGACGTTGGATAATCCCAAGCTAAAACAGTTCTTAATAAAACAAGAAATAACGCTAGATTCTAGTGCCTTGATTATCAGATATGCAAGCAGCAAAGCGCCACCTACCCTCGATTTCAATATATTGTTTAGGGTAGGTATTGACGATAAGTATCGAATTGGCGTATGCATTTCAGTTAAATTTTTTTTTCTATCATGAAAATTGTGATGACCACATTTTTGGGCGGCTTGTGGGCGTCAGAGTGGGCGTGGTATGTTTGCTAAAAAAGCTATGAGATTTAAATCTGAATTCCCAATTCTCTATCTTAATAGTTTTGAAGATATCGGCGTTCAAGTTAACGATTTTTTAAAGTTTGTGGGCGATTTGTTAGCGTTAACATTTTTGTAGCACTAAAACTATAGGAGCCACAGTTTTGGGCGGTTCAAGGGTGCCCGAGTAGGTGGGGCATGTTGGCATAACAAAATAAGGAATTTATATCTGAAATCTCAACCTTCTAGCTCGTGTAGTTTCCGAGATCACAGCGTTCACACGGACAGACGGACATGGCTAGATCGACTCGGCTGGTAATGCGGATCAAGAATACATTTTATTTATGGAGTCGGAGGCACTTCCTTCTACCTATTACATACTTTTTCCCAAATTATAAATTAAAATTATAAAAATTATAATTATGTTTAGGATATTCCCTGAACTGTAGCAAATCTTGGTCAGCTGGTGATCATGTGCTTCATACAAACTCAATTTTTTAAACATTTTAGCAATTTAACAATTTAAATCTAGAGCTATTACAGTACTTCATAAAGAAGGCATGGCAACTGTGTAACATTTTAGTATCATTTTTATACCTATTACTCTTAGAGTAAAAAGTATATAGTTTTTTGGGTAAAGTGTGGAACAGGTAGAAGAAAGAGTAGAGTACATATACAATATATATTCTTGATTAATATCACTAACCGAAAAGATCTGGCCATGTCCGTGTGAACGCTGTGATCTCGATACCTATCAACTGACCTAATAAAAGTTTGCCACGCCCATTTTAACGCCCAAAAATTTGATATTGAGTCTAGTTTTCTAAATCTTTTTTATCCTTAGGCTGTTGTCTTCCTTGCCATCGTTGCCTGTGATCACCTAGGAGAATACAAATAAATTTAATATAAACGATTTTTGCCAGAAAGATTTTTCAACCCAGTGCTGCGTAGTGTGTTTGTCGCTGGCATTTGCTAGTTTACCGGTAGAAGAATATATCGGTTTGTGCTGAGTTGATCAAGATTTCAAACAAACAGATGGTTCTTAACCTTATCTCTGAACTTTTGGAAAGATTTTACGCCCACGCGTTGTTTTTAACCGATGCGTCAAAAGAGGTGTACTCGAAATGAAAGTCCACTTGGAATGTCAGATGGTTGACTAATGATGAACCCTTTTTTTTCATTAGTTTTTAGTTATTTTATTTAGAAGTATCTAGGAATGTACGTGCAGTACAAAAATGAATACCTATTTTTTATACCCGTTGCTCGTAAAGAAAAAGGGTGGACTACATTTGTCGGAAAGTATGTTTACGACCTTATAAAGTATATATTATATATATGCACACCACATGCATTTTCTTGTTATACCCGTTACTCGTAGAGTAAAAGGGCATACTAGATTCGTCGGAAAGTATGTAACATATATATATATATATATTCTTGATCAGGATCACTAGCCGAGTCGATCTAGCCATGTCCGTCTGTCCGTTCGTCCGGATGAACGCTAAGATCTCGGAAACTACAAAAGCTAGGCTATTGAGAATGGGCATGCAGATTCCTGAGCTTCTTACGCAGCGCAAGTCAGCAGCGTTCCACGCCCACTTTAACGCCCACAAACCGCCGGGAACTGTGGCTCCTACAGTTTTGATGCTAGAGTAAAAATTTAAGCTGAAATAAATTGTTGTCATCAGTACCCATGGATTGACCCAAAAAAAGTTTACCACGCCCAATCTAACGCCCATAACGCTTAAGTCTGTCTACCGACCACATAACCATATATTGAGATCAGGGGTAGGTGGCGCATTTTAGTCTCTGTTCGAAACCCGTGATAGATTCCTTGCGAGAATATTTGTGTGCAGTGTAAGAGTCTTATGGTAAGCCTCTTTGTATATTGATATTTCATCTTTAACCGGCTGTGTGCCATGATCCCTGTGGATGTTGTGTGAATGTTGCTGTTGCTTGCTTCCCCCAAAGCTGGGAGCCGTGAGCCCAAATGGGCTTAAAAGTGAAATTGTATAGCAGAAACTGGGGGTCCAGACACAGGGGTGATCGAGAATTTATAATCCAGTGTACGCTGCTAGCTCTAAGTGTCAGAAATGCTTATTTTCAAAATAGTTTAAAAATGACTTTTAATGAAATATGGTAATAACTCTGGTCTTTATAAATTCAATTGAATTTCTAAAATGATTTACAATAGTTAAGGGAATACCCTAAACTTAATTTCAATTAAAAACCCTTTCCGATGGGGATTATCAAATGGCAATTGCTAACACAGCCACACTAATAGTTGTCAAAAAATTTGACGCTTGAAAATTCGGTATAATACTTTTTCTCGCACGACTCCGTCGAATTGGTAAGGAAATACGACTGACTGCAAGAATTCATTTGTTCAGCGATGTTACGCTGAAAAAGGTTACTTCAGGTGACAGTGAGGACCCTCTACAAGCCATAAAGAGTCAAAGAAGTCTTTGGACAGGTAGGCACCTAACAAATTATTTATTTTAAAAGCCTATCAGCTAGATTGTTTTCCGGATTTATAACATATGGCTTTTCTTCCATTTAGCGCCTTTAACCGATAGAAGGAGCAGCAATAAAAAAAGCCTTACAAACAGACAACTCCTCTTAACGTATTTTGTCCTGGTAAGCAATCTGTATTAAATAATGTTAATAACTTAGTTTTTAAAACCATTTTAGTACCCCCATTGTAGAACCGTTGCCCGACAAGTTTTGTCTTTATAGTGTCGTTTTGAATGTTGGCATCCAGGGAATGTCTGGATATTTGAAAGCACTTCAAAAACTTAAGGAGGGCTTGGTGCCGCCGTCGGAAGCATGTTGTATCAAAGGTCAGAAGAAATCAGAATTGTTACCTTAAAAATAACTGGAATGTCTTATGTCCGAGGGGTCTTCCTCAAAATGAGTTCAAGAAAAAATTGATACGGCGGCGGGAAATAGGCAGGAAGTCTATCAATGATACCCAGTATCGTCGCGTTTACGGTGGTGAAATCGTCTTTAATCACATAACTATGGGTGAGGCGTGAGCGCTGCAGATCACAGCGAAATTGAAGAGTTTGATATTAAGCTTAGCAAAACACCATGAGAAAAACCGGACGTCCTGTTTGACCTGTTAGGGCTTAAATATCTGCTTCCCACGCAGGCAACGGATGTTATGGTAATTGAAGAACTACCTCGATAAATTAATGCTGTGGAGCCGCAGTTCATCATCACGGAAACCTCTTCTAAAGATGACATTCCAGAGATAATTGTTAAGCCGGTCAAGAAGTGCAACTGAATGAGCTTAGACCATAACTTCCCTTCTTGATGTTAAAGATATTGGATCAGTCCCGCCGAAGCCACAAGATGAGTCAGCAATTCAGGATTGGTTTCAACAGTGTGGTAACCCGATTACCCAGCAACTGCAATTCATAATCAATTACGGGAGTGCTAAGCTACTGTCCTCGGAACCGGAAACCATTATTTGGGAAAGCGAGCTTGCCTACAAGCAGATAAAGCCCATTGTCAAGGAAGGTGGATCAGAATGTTTCCCTCTGAGAACGAATGGCAGAATGGATTTATAGCTTTCCTCGAGGACTTCGAGGATATCATTGACCAAAATATGTCGGAGTACAGGAACCAGTAAGCCAAATAACTCGACTCCAAGTGGAATCAGTAATATGGCTCCAAGTCGGCGAAGCATTTGTGGAGAATGTTGGTTGTTTCGCCCTTACCAGTTCATCTGGAGCAGGTTCTCCCGAAGATCAGGTAAGGGCGGAAACACCAACGTTCGCCCCAAACGCTCCGTGGCCTTGAAATTATATTGCTGATTCCTCATGAAGAGGAGTTCTTTTGCTTCCGGATCCCTGTATTTTCATATGTTTTGGTCTGCGACGTCCTCGTAGTCCTCGTGGCGAACTGTAAAGCTATTCTGCCACCCATTCTCCTGGGGAAGCAAACTGATGCACCTTCGTTGACATCGGTGCCTCATCTGCTTCTTGGCTATCTCGCTTTCGAAAACAATGGCTACTGGTCATTAATTATACATCGAAGTTCCTGGGAAATTTGTTAATTCACAAGAAGAGCGCCTCTTTAGCTATTTAGATATGCTCATCGGCAAAAAGAACCAAAATTTATCGGATGTCATTTTGAAAAGCTTGTTATTTTTAAAGCAAATAAATGTTTTACAAATATAAAGATTTCTCTTGGTTGGATATTTTAAAAAGCTTTGAAATGTATTGTTCCGTGACACCACAAATTAAATTTCAGTTGCAAACCAAATAAAGTTCATTTTATTATAACAACGCATATTCTTTGAATCCTCAAAGCTACAACAAACTAAGATTCAAATTAATAGTCAGCTTTAAATTTAATGGTACTTCTACTTCTAGTCAATTCGCGACTTATTTAAATACTTGGTAAAAAATACTAATTTTTAGTTAACAAAAAAAGTATCCTTTTAAAAAAATTATGCTAGTTAGAATATTGTACCTAATATTATTTTTTGGGGTTGTATTTTTCACTAGCATTACTTTTTGCATTCTAACGAAATACATATGTTATTAAGATATATTTTCAGTAGCATAACTTTGGGTCATCTTAGTAATGGCATTACTTTTGGGACTCAATAGAATTACTTTTTGAAAATCTAATAAAATGAATTTTTAGTATCATTATTTTTTTGGTAATCTAACAAAATGGTTTATGTAGAACTACTTTTTCCATTGCAATTGTTTTTTTAATAGCACTATTTTGTTCAATGCCGATTGTTTTTATTAGCAATAATATTTTAATTATGTATATTTATTTCAACTGCGGGAAGCACCAATAAAATATTTAATAATAATAATAATAAATTCTGAGTCAAAAAGTTCTTTGTACGGGTAGGAACGGTAAATATATTTCCATTTAAGGCTGGGAAGCTAGAACCATTTCCGTATTTATAACATTTGAATTTTCTTCAATTTACCGCCGTAGTGCCCATAGAAGATCCAGAAATAATTAAACCGGTTGCCCTGGGAAGTTATATGTAGAAAACTATGTAAGTAATTTAAGTTTTTGAAACCATTTTAGTGCCCTTATTTTAAAATCGAGGACCAACTATTTTAATTTTAAGAGTGTCGGCTTGGAATTGGACCTCAATGGAAACTCTTAACCGCTAATGAATGTGCATTGTCCCGCAGATATTCATCCAGGATAGTCAAGACCCCCAGATTAACAAACACGAACATTGTAAAAACTTGCATTCAATTTCAACAGTTTTGTAATTTCGTCAATTATAATATATCACATTTTACATTTGATTAAATGAAGAGAGGTGCTGGATCAGCGGCGTAGCTAAGGGGGGCGGAGTAGGCCAAGGGGGAGTAGTAAGCCAAAGATGAAGAATAGGCCAAAGGAGCAGCTGCGTTCTTGGCGACCACTGGAGCAGCGACGATTCCATTGTGCTTTTTAAATATATATGGTAGTCTCCTGTGCACTGCCGTCCACAGTAACATTTTTATATCCCCAAGCTACTTACACGGAATTATGGAAGTGAATTCTATTAATGATTGCGCGATCATGGAACATTTTTTTGTTTCTTTCGGTACATTTTTCGAGCCTTTAATAACTAGCCGAAAGCAGGAACAGTTTCTTCAACACTTCATCCGCCTCAGCCGTGGTCATGGGAAACACTGGCATCATTGCCGATTCAAAAAGTCTAGCCGTCATTCCGGGCGTTTCCTTGTTCCTGTCGCACTTCGATCACACCCGACATATATGCCCAACATCTATGTCAGATGTGATCGAAGTGCGATATCAGATAGGCTGGATATGAGTCAATGGCATTGTGATGATTATCAACTGAAGAAGTAGCGCAATGTTGGCCGAAACCCAAAGCGATATCGTGACGAAGACTATCGAAATGGTGAATTTCAAGGCTCTTACACTCATATGCTTACGTTACTTTTACGGTGCCAACTAACCTTGGACCGTAAATTTGCAGATATTTAGTGAGGTCTGCGCACTATCCTCAGAACCACTCCTTCGTGAAATGAACTTCGTCTAATATGTGAATAAGGAAATGTGCGGAGTCTCAGCTAGACTCTACGAGTCGGGAATGATCCAAGTATTTGCCATGACCACGGCTGAGGGAGACGAAATGCTGAAGAAACTGTACCTGCTTTCGGCTAGTTATTAAAGGGTATTTTGACATGTTTCTGTCAATAACATCCTCAAGGTGAAATGTGGAGCTAGTCTGCCAATCATTCTCCGGGGGACACGATTTGATGCACCTTCCTGGACATCAGGGCTTTATCTGCTCCTTGGCTATCTCTCGTTTAAGATCAATGGCTCTTGGTTTCGTGGGCGTTAGCTTGGCACTCTTCTCATGGACTAGAAATGGCATATGATGGGGATGGTGTCAGAAGTTGCTGTAATTAACGAGCTTAGTGTCATTACCGATGGCAGCAGGATTTGGCACCGACCTGCGTTCTATCGGCTCCTGTTTCACCTTGTAATTGTTGGGTAATCGGCGGGGCTTGACTATCCTAGATGAATTTGGTGGGGGCATTGGATTCTTGTCGACGATCACTTGCGGCGACGTTTTTAAAATCGGTGTACTAAAATTTTGTCTTATTAATCAAGTTATTTACCTATTTTAGTGCAGATAGCCTACCAGGTCAAAAGAAGTACAGAGGAGGTGTCTGTTTGCTAGGACTAAGGGGTTTTCTCGATCTACTGTCGGAACTAAGGCGCTTAATGGAAGAAAATCGAAGCTGTAAGTACGGAAAACACTATCATCACAGTGCCTACCTGTCCAAAGACTTGTTTGATGCCTTCGTTGGCATCATGTCTTTATGGCTTGCTTAGCGTCCTTCATTGCGGCTGCCTAATGTACTGTTGTTCCACTGTCATATAAAGTAATCTTCTTGAGCTTATCATCGCTGAAAAAGACTTTTATAAACTCCTCTTGTAGTCAGGGGTATGTCCTTCCAAGTTCTAAAGGGTATCCACTTTAATTTTCAGCGTTATCACGTGCGAAAAAAAATATTGTACTGAATTGTCAGACGTCAAATTTTTCAACAACAACAACTCTTTCAGTGTGGCTGCCGTTTGATAATCCCTAGCTGAAACAGTTCTTAATAAGACAAGAAAGGACGCTAGACTCGACTCTAGTGCCTCGACTATCAGATATGCAAGCAGCAAAGCGATATTGTGAAGCGCCACCTACCCTCGATTTCAATATATTGTTTAGGGTAGGTATTGATGATAAGTATTGACTTGGCAAATACATTTTAGTTAAAATTTGTTTTCTATTATGAAAATTGTGTTGGCCACAGTTTTGGCGGCTTCTGGGCGTCAGAGTGGGCGTGGTATGTTTGCTAACAAAGCTATGAGATTTAAATCTGAATTCCCAATTCTCTATCTTATTAGTTTTGAAGATATCGGCGTTCAAGTTAACGATTTTTTAAAGTTTGTAGGCGGTTTGTGGGCGTTAACATTTTTTTAACAGTTTTTTGGGTTAAGTGTGGAACAGGTAGAAGAAAGTGTTTCCGATCCCATGAAGTACATATACAATATATATTCTTGATCAATATCACTAGCCGAATCGATCTAGTGAGAGAAATCAGCGTTCGAGGTATCAGCGTTCATATGGACGGTTAGTGGGCGTTAAGGTGGGCATGGCACATTCGCGTAACAACCTAAATTTACTAAAATTAGGGGGCGGGATATTAAAACAAGACATTTCTTTTTACCAACCCATATAAAAACTAAACTCTTTGTGGCAACATTCGTTTGTATTATATTTATATGTATTTTCCTAGGTGATCACAGTTTGATTTAGATAAACAGTGGTGCGTGAGCAGCGGCGTAGCTAAGGGGGGCGGAGTAAGCCAAGGGGGAGGAGTAAGCCAAGGGGGAGGAATAGGCCAAAGGAGCAGCCAGAGGAGCAGCTGCGTACTTGGCGACCACTGGAGCAGCCACGGGAGCAATCACTGGAGCGGCGGCGATGCCATTGTAGTTCCTGGCGATCACCTGGCTGCTGGTGGCGGTCACGACTGGAGCAGGAGCAGCGACCACTGCAGCGGGAGCAGAGTAGGCCAGGGGAGAAGTGTAGGCCAGCGGAGCACCCAGGAGACCGGGCTTGGCAGCAACGCAGGCAACGATGGCCAGGATGACAACAGCCTGTGGACAAGCCAAATGAGTTAATATAATCCTCTGAAGTTGCTTTTTGAAGAACTTACGTATTTGAACATGGTGGCTATATTTCTTTGATTTGCTTCTTCGGAAGGCTAGAAACTGTTTGATGTCGAACTGCTTTTGGTGGAGCATATTTATACCCAAAACCTTACTCCGCTCTGACTCATGTGCGCATTCAGTTCATTTAAATGCTGCGGCAGTCTCCCGTTACCGTTTGCACTTTACCATACTTTATGTGATTTCCCACTGCTGAATGTGGAATATCTGTTGGTGGCCAATGGATTCGATGGCCTGAGGTCTATATAAATAGCGACATAAAGTGTTGAACGGCATCACACAAGTTCAAGTTTTCGAATCGAAAGCACTAAAAATCAACCGACACAATGTTCAAATCCGTGAGTTTGAATATTTGATATTTTGTCTTGTTTTCTAACTGTTTCATCCTTAGGCTGTTGTCTTCCTTGCCATCGTTGCCTGCGTTGCTGCCAAAACCGGACTCCTGGGTGCTCCTCTGGCCTACACTGCTCCACTGGCCTACTCTGCTCCCGCTGCAGTGATCGCTGCTCCTGCTCCAGTCGTGACCGCCACCAGCAGCCAGGTGATCGCCAGGAACTACAATGGAATCGCCGCCGCTCCAGTGATTGCTCCCGTGGCTGCTCCAGTGGTCGCCAAGTACGCAACTGCTCCTCTGGCTGCTCCTTTGGCCTATTCCTCCCCCTTGGCCTACTCCGCCCCCCTTAGCTACGCCGCTGCTCACGCACCTCTCTTCATCTAATCAAATAAAATGTGATATAATATTAAATTGAAGAAATTACAAAACTGTTCAACTGGAATAAAAGTTTCTTCAAGTGTTATTCTGAATGCGTGTAGTAATTGAGTAAAATGCCCTAATTATTTATATTTTTATGTCAAGGTCGAAACATTCTAAGGTGATACTGGAATGAACGCTACAGTTGAGTTAATTGGTTAATCTGCTACGACAGTCCGATCGATACATCAAATACACCGATCTAAAGGTATTATTATGTTATTTTAGGGTAAGGTTAAGGTAAAAGTAAAAAAGGAAATTTGAGTAATTAAAGCTAAAGAAAACGGAGGAGGCAAATGTATTTCATTTTAAATTTTTAAAATTTTTTTAATTTTTAATTTTTAATTCCAATTTTTTTTTTATTGAACAAAGAATGATTTGACGAAAAATGATTTTAAATTTGACAAAATAAATTCACTATATTAAATTTACCTCCTTGGCGCGCTACAATAGAGAAGTGAAGTTGACTAAAGTTGAAGTTGACTAAAGGTCAATAGTTAACTCAGAGAAAAACACCGTGCCAAAATCAAGTACAAAAGTCTTGATTTAAGAACGTTTTCATGCTTACCATTTTAAAACCGAATCATAATTTCAGAATCTTGAATTCCTCTTTAAGTCAAGACTGTTTGTACTTGATTTTAGCACCCTGAGTGTTCATTTTATAGAAATCGTGGTACGTAGTCAGTTTTGTGTGGGATGCCAATTTTCTTTAATTTGGAGGTGCCGAGTTGAGCCTGTTGTCAAGAACGCTGCTTCGCGCGGCCTTGCCCTGCAGGTCTAGGATCAAGGTTTAGAATCGCATTTAGGTAGAATGGATAGTGTGGAGCGCTCCACTGATGTAGAGTTTTTTTTTTAGAGCTGATATCAAAGCATCGAGAGCCAACTCGTAGCTGAGATAGCTTGTCCAAGTCCGGGATTCTACCCCAGTAAAAACATCACCCCATCCCCGGTTTTACGGGAAAGTTTACTTTAAGTACTTTTTCGCCGGCTGAAAAATGTCATGTTGCATACAGCAGATCAATTTTCTTCTGATTTCTGAGTCAAGCAGAATATCCGCCAAGTTACAAGCCGCTGGCGTCCTCCTAAAGTCCACGCTCAAATTTATTCGTAAATTTTTAAGGTTTGAACTGACAAAGAGCGGGGATAGGCTTAGACATCCATCGTCCTTTGCTACTATTTAACCCCTCTTGCTAGTTAAGATCCCCTCCGTTTTTTGAGGGGATCTCCATTGCTAACACGTCGGTATAATTTCTGACATTTCCGACTCCGCGTTTTGTAATACCGTGCTAAACGCACAACTTACCAATAGAGAACATATTCTTTGTACTCGCATTCTGGGCCGAAACTTTAGACATATTGCTGGCGGCATCGCTGGTAGATAGTCCCTTCCGAAAGTAATTCTACATCTCTTAGAGGCCGTTCTCCAAGTTAACTTTTCAACCTTTCTTTCGATCCGTTGGTCGTTTTGGGCCTTTTTATACCCGTTACTCGTAGAGTAAAAGGGTATACTAGATTCGTCGGAAAGTATGTAACAGGCAGAAGGAAGCGTTTCCGACCCAATAAAGTATATATAGTCTTGATCAGGATCACTACCCGAGTCGATATAGCCATGTCCTTCTGTCCGTATGAACGGTGAGATCTCGGAGCCTAAGAGCTAGGCTATTGAGATTTGGCGTGCAGATTCCTGAGCTTCTTACGCAGCGCAAGTTTGTTTCAGAAATGTGCCACGCCCACTCTTACGCCCACAAGCCGCTAAAACTGGTGGCTCCTACAGTTTTGATGCTAGAATAAAAATTTTAACTTAAGTGTATTGTTCTCATCAATACCTACATCCATGGCTAGACCGTTTCTATGAAAACCAAAATTTAGCGTCTTACTTCGAACTTAAGAATATAACTGTGTGTTTTGATGCCTTCTGACATTCAAGAAACAATTTATTAATTGTCATGTACTTTTACTTTATGCACTGGAGAGAATTTTAAGAAAATTTAATATTGATCCATAGGTACTTCCACAGTTATGTCGAACTACTTTGAATGCGAACTTATCTAACCTTTGTACAATAAATTAAACTTCGCCCCAAATGCAAAAACCCAGAAGTTACAATTTAGAAAACCCTATTTATGAAAAGTGCTCCTTTGAAATTGCTGCAACTTGGCAGTTGACCTCTAAAGTCATCTTCAAGATGATTGGAACTTCCTATTACTGGAAAATCAAGGGTCACTCTTTGACCTTGACATAATTGCCATGCCCTGTACTCAAAGCTGAACCAATAGTAGACCCCGAATACAAATCAATTTCGCACAATTTCATGTAACAAACATGGGACGGCAGCTGCTGCCGCTGAGCTAGATAAAAAATTTTAACTGGAATGTATTGGTCTAGTCAATACCTACCGATTGATTCAAAAAAAAATTTGCCACGCCCACAAACCGCACAAACCTGTGACGCTCACAATTTCATGCCTATCGATTGATCCAAAAAAAATTTGCCGCATCCACTCTAACGCCCATAACGCTTAAATCTGTCTACCGCCGGTAGGTGGCGTATTTTAATCTCGCTTTGCTGCTTGCATATCTCCATTTCCCTTTGGTCCCTTTAGCTGAGTAACGGGTATCTGATAGTCGAGGTACTCGACTATAGCGTTCTTCCTTGTTGCTGACTGGTTCCGTCACTTTTATCGACATCTGCCGCCTGTTGCCGTCGTAGCAAGCTAGCAATCTTGAAGTCTTTATGACCTTCTTGGACTTTCTTGAAATCCTCCATTGATTACTGGTCCCTTCTGATGGTGTTGCTGGCTAGTCGTTCCAGGATGCGGTAAGTTTTTGCGCTCCAGAGGTTCCGCTTGGCTTGGTGGTATCACTTTTAACTTCTTGGCCCTTGTGCTTACCACAAGATCGGCCTTAGGAAGCCACCCAAGTTGGTTTGCTTGGTTAGCTGGCCCTTTGCTGGCGGGCACAAAATGCTTTCAATTTCTGATTTTTAAGTTGCTATTATTATTTTCAAAGGCACAAAAAATAAACAAATAAAATTAAGACAAATATTCTATGTTGATTTTATCTACTTCTTCTTTTGTGAGTATTTTAAATTAGGTTAGCTAATTTTTACCAGATAAAGACGACATCTACGGCAAGCCAAGCTTTTACATCCATGGCTAGACCGTTTCTATGAAAACCAAAATTTAGCGTCTTACTTCGAACTTAAGAATATAACTGTGTGTTTGATGCCTTCTGACTTTCAAGAAACAAATTATTTAAATGTCATGTAGTTTTACTTTATGCACTGGAGAGAATTTTAAGAAATATTTAATATTGATTCAAAGGTACTTCCACAGTTATGTCCAACTACTTTGAATGCGAACTTATCTAACCTTTGTACAATAAATTAAACCTTCGCCCCAAATGCAAAAAAAAACAGAAGTTACAATTTAGAAACCCTATTTATGAAAAAGTGCTCCTTTGAAATTGCTGCAACTTGGCAGTTGGCCTCTAAAGTCATCATCAAGATGATTGGAAAATCAAGGGTCACTCTTTGACCTTGACATAATTGCCATGCCCTGTACTCCAAGCTGAACCAAATAGTAGGCCCCGAATACAAATCAATTTCGCACAATTTAATGTAACAAACATGGACGGCAGCTGCTGCGGCTGAGCTGACAATAATTTTTATCGCCATTACGTGACGAGAATCTGAAAACTTTTAAATGTCCCATCAGCAGGCAGTGGGTATCGGAGGTCTTGGTATGCCAGCGGTAAATCCAATTAGCAGAAGCCGAGAAAGGAGGAGAAATTCGAGTTGGATTGAAATTTTTATTTGTTTTAAGGCTTAGACAAGGACTGGAGCAGCTGACAGGGCACTGTAGGTCAAAGGTGAGGAGTAAGCTAGGGGAGAGGAGTACGCCAGAGGAGCAGCTGCGTACTTGGCGACCACTGGAGCAGCCACGGGAGCAATCACTGGAGCGGCGGCGATGCCATTGTAGTTCCTGGCGATCACCTGGCTGCTGGTGGCGGTCACGACTGGAGCAGGGGCAGCGTAGGCCAGCGGGAGCTGAGAAGGCCAGGGGAGCAGTGTAGGCCAGAGGAGCACCCAGGAGACCGGGCTTGGCAGCAACGCAGGCAACGATGGCAAGGAAGACAACAGCCTAAGGATGAAACAGTTAGAAAACAAGACAAAATATCAAATATTCAAACTCACGGATTTGAACATTGTGATGGTTGATTTTTAGTGCTTTCGATTCGAAAACTTGAACTTGTGTGATGCCGTTCAACACTTTATGTCGCTATTTATACACCAAAGACTGCGTCTGTGACCTAGGCCATCGAATCCATTGGCACCAACAGATATTCCACATTCAGCAGTGGGAAATCACATAAAGTATGGTAAAGTGCAAATGGGTAACGGGAGACTGTCGCAGCATTTAAATGAAGTGAATGCGCACATAAGTCAGAGGGAAGTAAGGTTTTGGGTATAATATGCTCCACCAAGAGCAGTGGACATCAAACAGTTTCTAGCCTTCCGAAGAAGCAAATCAAAGAAATATAGCCACCATGTCAAATACGTAAGTTAACTGAGGAAGGTACTTCAAAGGATTGTATTAACTCAATTAGCTTATCCACAGGGCTGTTGTCATCCTGGCCATCGTTGCCTGCGTTGCTGCCAAGCCCGGTCTCCTGGGTGCTCCTCTGGCTACACTGCTCCACTGGCCTACTCTGCTCCGCTGGCCTACGCTTGCCCCTGCTCCAGTCGTGACAGCCACCAGCAGCCAGGTGATCGCCAGGAACTACAATGGCATCGCCGCCGCTCCAGTGATTGCTCCCGTGGCTGCTCCAGTGGTCGCCAAGTACGCAGCTGCTCCTCTGGCTGCTCCTTTGGCCTATTCCTCCCCTTGGCTTACTCCTCCCCCTTGTCTTACTCCGCCCCCTTAGCTACGCCGCTGCTCACGCACCACTGTTTATCTAAATCAAACTGTGATCACCTAGGAAAATACATATAAATATAATACAAACGAATGTTGCCACAAAGAGTTTAGTTTTTTATATGGGTTGGTAAAAAGAAATGTCTTGTTTAATATCCCGCCCCTAACTTAAACATAATTTTAGAAAATTTAGTTTGTTACGCGAATGTGCCATGCCCACCTTAACGCCCACTAACCGTCCATATGAACGCTGATACCTCGAACGCTGATTTCTCTCACTAGATCGATTCGGCTAGTGATATTGATCAAGAATTATATTGTATATGTACTTCATGGGATCGGAAACACTTTCTTCTACCTGTTCCACACTTAACCCAAAAACTATATACTTTTTACTCTATGAGTAATGGGTATAAAAATGCTTACTAGTGATACTTTATAAAATACGGTAGTAACTCTGGTTTTCAGCAATATTAACAGGTTCGATGCTGGTTGAATTGCTAGAATGTTTGAGTTTGTATGTAGCACATGATCACCAGATGACCAAGATTTTAAACAGTTTAGGGAAGATCCTAAACATGTTAATACCCGTTACTCGTAGAGTGAAAGGATATATTATACTTGGTGAAAAGTATGTAACAAGTAGAAGGATGGAGACTCCTTGTAGAATATGTATTCTTGATCAGCATTACCAGCCGAGTCGATCAAGCCATGTCCGTCTGTCCATGTGAACGCTGTGATCGCTGAAACTACAAGATCAAGTTTGTTACGCGAACATGCCACGCCCACTCTGGCGCCTCGAACCGCCCAAAACTGCGGCTCCTACAGTTTTAGTGCTCGAAAAAATGTTAACGACCACAAACCGCCTACAAACTTTAAAAAATCGTTAACTTCAACGCCGATATCTTCAAAACTATTAAGATAGAGAATTGGGAATTCAGATTTAAATCTCATAGCTTTGTTAGTAAACGTACCACGCCCACTCTGACGCCCACAAGCCGCCCAAAACTGTGGCCAACACAATTTCATAATAGAAAACAAATTTAATATTTGCCAAGTCAATACTTATCATCAATACCTACCCCTAAACAATATATTGAAATCGAGGGTAGGTGGCGCTTCACAATATCGCTTTTGCTTGCATATCTTGATAGTCGAGCACTAGAGTCGAGTCTAGCGTCCTTTCTTGTTTTATTAAGAACTGTTTCAGCTAGGATTATCAAACGGCAGCCACACTGAAAGAGTTGTTGTTGTTGAAAAATTTGACGTCTGACAATTCAGTACAATATTTTTTTTCGCACGTGATAACGCTGAAAATTAAAGTGATACCCTTTAGAACTTGGAAGGGACATACCCCTGACTACAAGAGGAGTTTATAAAAGTCTTTTCAGCGATGATAAGCTGAAGAAGATTACTTTATATGACAGTGGAACAACAGTACATTAGGCAGCAGCAGTACAAGGACAAGCGTATGAATTCTTAGTCAAACAAGTCTTTGGACAGGTAGGCATTGTGATGATAGTGTTTTCCGTACTTACAACATCGATTTTCTTCCCATTAAGCGCTTTAGTGCCGACAGTAGATCGAGAAAACCCCTTAGCCCTTGCAAACAGACACCTCCTCTGTACTTCTTTTGACCTGGTAAGCTATCTGCACTAAAATAGGTAAATAACTTGATTAATAAAACAACATTTTAGTACACCGATTGTAAAAACGTCGCCCGCAAGTGATCGTCGACAAGAATCCAATGCCCCCACCAAATTCATCTAGGATAGTCAAGCCCCGCCGATTACCCAACAATTACAAGTGAAACAGGAGCCGATAGAACGCAGGTCGTGCCAAATCCTGCTGACACCATCCCCATCATATGCCATTTCTAGTCAATGAGAAGAGTGCCAAGCTAACGCCCACGAAACCAAGAGGCATTGATCTTAAACGAGAGATAGCCAAGGAGCAGATAAAGCCCTGATGTCCAGGAAGGTGCATCAAATCGTGTCCCCCGGAGAATGATTGGCAGACTAGCTCCACATTTCACCTTGAGGATGTCATTGACAGAAACATGTCAAAATACCCTTAATAACTAGCCGAAAGCAGGTACAGTGTCTTCAGCATTTCGTCTCCCTCAGCCGTGGTCATGGCAAACACTTGGATCATTCCCGACTCGTAGAGTCTAGCTGAGACTCCGCACATTTCCTTATTCACATATTAGACGAAGTTCATTCACGAAGGAGTGGTTCTGAGGAAAGGGCGCAGACCTCACTAAATATCTGCCAAATTACGGTCCAAGGTTGGCACCGTAAAAGTAACGTAAGCATATGAGTGTAAGAGCCTTGAAATTCACCATTTCGATAGTCTTCGTCACGATATCGCTTTGGGTTTCGGCCAACATTGCGCTACTTCTTCAGTGATAATCATCACAATGCCATGACTCATATCCAGCCTATCTGATATCGCACTTCGATCACATCTGACATAGATGTTGGCATATATGTCGGGTGTATCGAAGTGCGACTTTTTTTTTTTTTTTTTTTACTTTTATTAATGTGGAAATTTTATTCTTAGGATTAGCACACTGCTACCCGACTGGCAGCTTAATCTAATCTGTTTTTTCAAAAATAGATACAATACTAGTCTAAGGGTTCCTTAAGGCAAGAAATAATTTCGTTATTTTTAGTTATTTATATTAATATTGAGGGTGGTGATGTTGCTAGGTCAAAATCCGGTCCGGTAGGTCTTGAGGGTGTGTCTTTTTAGTCTTCTTTTGACTCGGTTGCTTGGTTCAGCGCTGTTTATAGCAGCGGTACCAAGTTTTCTGGCTAGGCTGTTGGGGTGCTCGTTTAGCCTTCCATATATTTTCGAGAAAGTTCCTGCAGCTTGTCTCCAAGTTTGGGCACATTGAGATCCCGTTCGATGTCTCTGGTTCGCATAAACCACGGAGCTCCAGAGATGGTTCGAAGTGTTTTCGCTTGCAAAACCCGGATTTTGTGAGGTTGGTTTTGCAGCGATGCCGTAAACCTGGAGTCCATAAAAAGACTGGGCGCTAGTATGACTTATAGATTTGAACCTTACAGCCAAGTGCGAGCTTGTTGCGTGGTGCGAGAAGCCAAGCCATCCGAGCAACTTTGGTCCTGAAGGAGTGTTGGATACACGTAATGTGCCTGCCAAAAGTGAGTTTTTTGTCCAAAGTGACACCGAGGTACTTGTATGCAGGAAGGGCTCTGATTGGACTTTCGTTGAGGCTGACTCCAGGGCAGCTACTTCGGCGGTTGGTGAACGTTACATTGGCACATTTGTCCGCGTTTACTCGAATGTTCCAGTTCATGGCCCATTGGTGAAATGCGTCCAATACTCTTGCAATGCAAATGTGGCAGCCAAGATACTTTTGCTTTTTGTCAGGACAGCAGTGTCGTCGGCGTAGGTCGCAATTAGCACGTCTTTTCCTCAACTTCAGTGATTGGATTTGTGTAGGCATATCTGAGCATAAATTGAGTAAAGAGTAGGGCCGAGGACGCTACTTGGGGAACTCCGGCAGAGATCGGTTTGGTGGACGACTTGTACCCATCGGCAGAGACGTGGAAAGTGCGTTCTTCCAGGAAGCTTTTCACGAGCTGGAATAGCTGTGGCGTAAAAATACTTTTGGCTTTGTACAGGAGCCCAGGTGCCACACTCTGTCAAAAGCCTGCTGGATGTCAAGGAAGGCAGCAACTGCATACTCCTTCTTCTCCAAGGCTTCTAAAACAAAGTTAACAACTCTGTGTAATTGCTCAGGATTCCGGTTTGAAGACGAAAGCCAAACTGGAATTCCGGAATCGCACTGGTGACATTCTCGTAAGTGAGTAGCCTGTTCAGGATCAGCCTTTCCATGATTTTTCCCAAGGATGGTAGAAGACTAATATAGGCCTATATGAGTCCACGTCAGTCGGCGATTTACCTGGTTTGGGATCATGATTATATTCGCCGATTTCCAAACTTCGGAAGTATCCAAGAGTTATTACGCTGTGGAATAACGACACCAGGAATGCAAGGCTTGATCCGGTAAAAGTCGAATCGTCCTGTTGTCCAGAAGGTCTCCCCGGGAGTTCTTCCGGTGAAAGTTTACCTACAAGGTCTTTTACCTCTGTCAGTGTGACAGGGTTAGCAGGCAGGCTCATTTGAAAGGAGATTCCAGGAACTCATCAACTTGTCGACGTATGCTTTCAGGCGAATAGTCGTAAGGCTTGAAACGTGTTCGAGGTGTTAGCGAACGCTTCAGCTTTCTCTAGGCTCGTGCGGCACCACCACCTGCGGGGTTCTAATTGCTGATTTTGGGTGGGCTGAGCCTTGTATCGTCTTGTGATACGCCACAGCGAGTAGTTAGAACTAGCGTCTGTGTCCAGATTTTCCATAAAGCTGTCTATAGACTCTTGTTTTCTTCGAGCGAGCGCTTTGCTTAGACAGTTAGCCAACCGATTATGTATCTGATGGATTCGGGCGTCTCCCTTCTTGCGTATTCTCTTCTTACTCTTCCTTTAGGCTGAAAGTGCCCCAATTCTGGGTGTAGCAGGAGATGTCTAGAGGTCTCTGTATTTTCGCGATTCCTGGGTGCAGCTATCTCAGCAGCCTCGCTTATCATGCGCATAAAAAGGTTGATGCACTGTCAATGTCAGTAGGTTCCTGGATTGTATGTTAACATCACTCAGCTGTTCTAGATAGGCTTTGAAGGCTTTATATTAGCACCTCTGGCAAGTAGTCGCGGGCGCTGTGGTTTTTCATAGGGTGCATGCCAGTGTGGCCAGGATAGGAGTGTGGTCCGAGGAGAGTTCATGGAGGGTTTTACTGTAGCCTGTCTATAGCGTATCCATTGATTATGAAAAAATCAAGCGCTGTCGTGTTATCAGGGGGTATATGAGTAGAAAGTGGGTTCACCCCTGGCAAGTACTTGGTAATGCCCATTGGCAACGACTTCTTGCAACTGCTTACCCCTGCTGCTGGCTCGTGAGTTTCCCCACCATGCATGTTTGGCATTATAATCACCACCAGCAATAAATTTGCTTCCAAGTCCAGTCAGTAGGGATTCAAATTCTGATTGAATCCATCTTTCTGCTGGAGGTAGGTAAATCGCCGCTAATGTGACATTCCCTTCTGAAGTCTCTAACTGGACGCTCGCTATCTGTCTGTCGTTGCTAGAGGGGGGCAGGGGATTGTGACTAAGGGAATCCTTTATTATGACTGCAGAGCCACCTCTGCTGTTGCGCTGACCATCGCGGATGTGAGTTTCTGTTGCAAGCATTATGTCTATGTTATGAGCGCTGAGGAATAATCGAAGCTCTTCAGATACTCTGACTAGTCCACGAGCGTTCCACAATCCGATGTTTAAAACTGGTTGAGTTATTTCGGCAATCGCGCAATGAGAACCTGGACCAGCTCTCTGAAAGCCTTGTTGGACTCTGCATTTTCCTGCATCAGCTTAAATAGGGTGTCCAGTTTGGAATTGATGTCGCGGATGGCATTATCTATCGCTGTGAACTTATGGCTCAGTCTAGGGTCGGAAGGAGAGCTTGCGTTCGAAGTGCGACAGGAACAAGGAAACGCCCGGAATGACGGCTAGACTTTTTGAATCGGCAATGATGCCAGTGTTTCCCATGACACGCTGGAGCGGATAAGTGTTGAAGAACTGTTCCTGCTTTCGGCTAGTTATTAAAGGCTCGAAAATGTACCGAAAGAAACAAAAAAATGTTCCATGATCGCGCAATCATTAATAGAATTCACTTCCATAATTCCTGTAAGTAGCTGAGGGATATAAAAATGTTACTGTGGACGCAGTGCACAGAGACTACCATATAATATTTAAAAAGCACAAATGGAATCGTCGCTGCTCCAGTGTCGCCAAGAACGCAGCTGCTCCTTTGCCATATTCTTCATTTTGGCTTACTACTCCCCCTTGGCCTACTCCGCCACCACCTTAGCTACCGCCGCTGATCCAGCACCTCTCTTCATTTAATCAAATGTAAATGTGATATATTATAATTGACGAAACTTACAAAACTGTTGAAATTGAATGCAAGTTTTTACAATGTTGTGTTTGTTAATCTGGGGTCTGACTATCCTGGATGAATATCTGCGGGACAATGCACATTCATTAGCGGTTAAGAGTTTCCATTGAGGTCCAATTCCAAGCCGACACTCTTAAAATTAAAATAGTTGGTCCTCGATTTTAAAATAAGGGCACTAAAATGGTTTCAAAAACTTAAATTACTTACATAGTTTACTACATATAACTTCCCAGGGCAACCGGTTTAATTATTTCTGGATCTTCTATGGGCACTACGGCGGTAAATTGAAGAAAATTCAAATGTTATAAATACGGAAATGGTTCTAGCTTCCCAGCCTTAAATGGAAATATATTTACCGTTCCTACCCGTACAAAGAACTTTTTGACTCAGAATTTATTTTATTAAATATTTTATTGGTGCTTCCCGCAGTTGTAATATATATACATAATTAAAATATTATTGCTAATAAAAACACTCTTCAAAAAAAACAGTTGCAATGGAAAAAGTAGTTCTACATAAACCATTTTGTTAGATTACCAAAAAAATAATGATACTAAAAATTAATTTTATTAGATTTTCAAAAAGTAATTCTATTGAGTCCCAAAGTAATGCCATTACTAAGATGACCTATAGTTATGCTACTGAAATAATATTAGGTACAATATTCTAACTAGCATAATTTTTTTAAAAGGTTACTTTTTTTGTTAACTAAAAATTAGTATTTTTTAAGCAAGGATTTAAATAAGTCGCGAATTGACTAGAAGTAGAAGTACCATTAAATTTAAAGCTGACTATTAATTTGAATCTTAGTTTGTTGTAGCTTTGAGGATTCAAAGAATATGCGTTGTTATAATAAAATGAACTTTATTAGGTTTGCAACTGAAATTTAATTTGTGGTGTCACGGAACAATACATTTCAAAGCTTTTAAAATATCCAACCAAGAGAAATCTTTATATTTGTAAAACATTTATTTGCTTTAAAAGTAACAAGCTTTTCAAAATGACATCCGATAAATTTTGGTTCTTTTTGCCGATGAGCATCTCTAAATAGCTAAAGAGGCGCTCTTCTTGTGAATTAACAAATTTCCCAGGAACTTCAATGTATAATTAATGACGAGTGCTAGGCTACCGTTCACTGAACCAGTAGCCATTGTTTTCGAAATCGAGATAGCCAAGGAGCAGATGAGGCCCCGATGTCAAGAATGGTGCATCAGTTTGCTTCTCCAGGAGAATGGGTGGCAGAATAGCTTTACAGTTCGCCACGAGGACTACGAGGACGTCGCGGACCAAAACATGTGGAAATACAGTGATCCGGAAGCAAAAGAACTCCTCTTCATGAGGAATCAGTAATATAATTTCAAGGCCGCGGAGCGTTGGGGCGAACGTTGGTGTTTCCGCCCTTACCTGATCTTCGGGAGAACCTGATCCAGATGAACTGGTAAGGGCGAAACAACCAACATTCTCCCCAAATGTTTCGCCGACTTGAAGCCATATTACCGGTTCCACTTGGAGCGGAGTCTTTTGGCTTGCGGGTTCCTGTACTCCGACATATTTTGGTCAATGATATCCTCGAAGTCATCGAGAAAAGCTGTGAATCCATTCTGCCAATCGTTCTCAGAGGGAGACATTCTGATGCACTTTCCTGGACTTTGGGCTTCATCTGCTCCTTGGCAAGCTCGCTTTCCAAAATAATGGTTTCTGGTTCCGAGGACGGTAGCTTAGCACTCCCGTAATTGATTATGAATTGCAGTTGCTGGGGAATCGTGTTACTACACTGCTGAAGTCAATCCTGAATTGCTGCCTAACCTTGGAGTTTCGGCAGGAATGATCCAATATCTTTACCATCAAGAAAAACGGGACGCTCTGGTCTAAGCTTATTCAGTTGAACTTCTTTAACAGTTATCACGTCGTCTTCAGAAAAACTTCCCGTGAACAGCGGCTCCACAGCATCGATTTATAGAGTTAATTCTTCAGTTACCATAACATCCGTTGCCTGCGTCGGAACAAGAAATTTGGGCTCTAACAGGCCGATAAGGACGTCTCGATTTGTCTCATGGTCTTTTGCTAAGCTCAATAGCTCATCAAACTCTTCAATATCGCTGTGATCTCCAGGGTCCGCTCGACTTTCTCATCAATAGTTATGTGATCAAGGACGATTTCTCCACCATGAACGTGACGATACTAGGTATCATTGATAGACTTGCCGTCTATTTTCCAGTTGGAAAGTGCACCCGCAGCATTATTTTCTTAAAGAATTAATTTTAAGGAAGACCCCCTCGGAAATCAGGCATTCCAGTTCTTTTTGAGGTAGAAATTTCTTCTGACATTCCATATAACATAGATGCCACTCTGCTTCCGACTGCGGCACCAAGCCCTCCTTCAGGCCCTGAAGTGCTTTCAAATATCCAGGGATTCCCCGGATGTCAAAATTCAAAACGACCCTATAAAGACAAAACTTGTCGGGCGACTCTTCTAGAATCGGGGTATTAAAATGGTTTTAAAAACTAAGTTATTTACCTTATTTAATACATATGACTTATCAGGACAAAATAAGTTCAGAGGAGATGTCTGTTTGTAAGGGTTTGTTTATTTCTGGATCTTCCGTTGGTACTAAGGCGCTAAATGGAAAAAAAACGTACGATATAAATTCATTTTTCACTGAAATAATTAGTAAAGGGTCTACCTGTCCAGAGAATTCTTAAAATCAGAATTCATCCATTTGTCCTTTCAACATTGCTGCTTCTTAATTTACCTTTGTCCTCAATGTCAACTATAGTAACCTTCGTCCGCATATCATCGCTGATCAAGTGTTTTATAAACTGTTCGTCCTCCTCTGAGCCTGAATCAGATGAATTCCTGCAGTCAGGCGTATTTCTTTACCAATTCGACGGAGTAATAACTTTTATTTCCGACAGACGTGACACCGTGCGAGAAAAAATATTATACTGCATTGTCAGCCGTCAAGTTTTCAACAACTCTATTAGTGTGGCTGCGTTAGCAATTGTCGTTTGATCCCTATCGAAAAAAGTTTTTAATTGAAGTTATGTTTAGGATATTCCCTAAACTGCTGGGAAAACTTGGTTAGCTGGTAATCAGGTGCTCAACAACAACAACAACGAGGCTGTTGAATTGCTAAAGTCTAAGTTATTACTCTATTTATAAAAAGTCATGGCAACTCTGTAACATACTAGTAGGGTGTACTGCGTTTGGGGACAGTACATACTCGATCAATATCACTGGCCGAGTCGATATAGCCATGTCCCTGTGCCGGGTGAACGCTGTGTTCTCAGTGCAAGCCGCATAAACTGTGGCGCCAACGATTATATTGCTAGAATAAAGATTTAAACAAGACCTATCGATGATCTAAAAAAATATCCCTGCCCACTCTAACACCCATAACGCTAAAATCTGTATGTTGCCCACATTTTCTAACTATTTTGTAAAAGCTTAGTAAATAAAAAATATTAATTATAAATAAAACAAGGAAGAACGCTATAGTCGAGTACCTCGACTATCAGACCTGTTACTCAACAAAAGGACCAAAGGGAAATGGAGATATGCAAGCAGCAAATCGAGATTAAAACGTTACGCGTTATGGGCGTTAGAGTGGGCGTGGCAATCGATAGGTATTGACAAGACCAATACATTTCAGTTATAATTTTTTATCTATGGGCGTCACAGGTTTGTGCGGTTTGTGCGTTAGAGTGGGCGTGGCATATTCGCGTAACAAACGTGGGCTGCGTACATGGCTACGGAATCTAAATCTGAGATCCCAATTCTATATTTGAGATAGTTTCCGAGATATCCACGTTCATATAACGCTTTTTTGAAGTTTTGGGCGGTTTGTGGGCGTTAAAATGGCGTGGCAAACTTGTATTTGGGTCAATCGATCGGTATTGATGAGAACAATAAATTTCAGTTAAAATTTTTATTCTAACATCAAAAACTGTAGGAGATACAGTGTTGCGCGGTTTGTGGGCGTTTGCTGAAACAAACTTGCGCTGCGTAAGAAGATCAGGAATCTGCATGCCCAGCTCTTATAGTTTCTGAGATCTCAGCGTTCATCCGGACAGACAGACAGACGGACACACGGACATGTCTAGATCGACTCGGCTAGTGATCTTGATCAAGAATACATATACTTTATGGAGTCGGAAACGCTTCCTTTTGTATAACCTTTTACTCTTCGAGTAACGGTATAATAAATTGATTATACGGCCGAAAGTCTCAGCAGCTATGGCCGATTCCTCCCTGTACCTTAAGTTTTAAACTTTTGGCATCAGAGTACAATAAATAAATAAATTGATTATTTCCGGGGGAAGCAAAAATATCTTGCAACTCCTGAAATATGAAATTTTTTCATGCATTTAAAAGGCTATAACCCTTTAATTATCTGACACTTATTATTGACCTTTCTTTCTCGATTTAGTCTAATGATGCTTAAACCAAGAACGGCATTTTAAATAACCAATTGTTATTTACTAATCCATCTAAAAAGCAAACATCTTTGTGGCAATATTCGTTTATAATAAATTTATATGTATTCTCGTAGGTGATCACAGTTTGATTTAGATAAATAGTGGTGCGTGAGCAGCTGCGTAGCTAAGGGGGCGGAGTAAGCCAAGGGGAGGAGTAAGCCAAGGGGAGGAATAGGCCAAAGGAGCAGCCAGAGGAGCAGCTGCGTACTTGGCGACCACTGGAGCAGCCACGGGAGCAATCACTGGAGCGGCGGCGATTCCATTGTAGTTCCTGGCGATCACCTGGCTGCTGGTGCGGTCACGACTGGAGCAGGAGCAGCGACCACTGCAGCGGGAGCAGAGTAGGCCAGGGGAGAAGTGTAGGCCAGCGGAGCACCCAGGAGACCGGCTTGGCAGCAACGCAGGCAACGATGGCCAGGATGACAACAGCCTGTGGATAAGCTAATTGAGTTAATACAATCCTTTGAAGTACCTTCCTCAGTTAACTTACGTATTTGAACATGGTGGCTATATTTCTTTGATTTGCTTCTTCGGAAGGCTAGAAACTGTTTGATGTCCAACTGCTCTTGGTGGAGCATATTTATACCCAAAACCTTACTCCGCTCTGACTCATGTGCGCATTCAGTTCATTTAAATGCTGCGACAGTCTCCCGTTACCGTTTGCACTTTACCATACTTTATGTGATTTCCCACTGCTAAATGTGGAATATCTGTTGGTGGCCAATGGATCGATGGCCTGAGGACACAAACGCAGTCTTTGGTGATAGCGACATAAAGTGTTGAACGACTAGTTTTCGAATCGAAAGCACCACAAATCAACCATCACAATGTTCAAATCCGTAGTTTGAGGATCTGATATTGAGTCTAGTTTTCTAAATCTATTTTATCCTTAGGCTGTTGTCATCCTGGCCATCGTTGCCTGCGTTGCTGCCAAGCCCGGTCTCCTGGGTGCTCCTCTGGCCTACACTTCTCCACTGGTCTACTCTGCTCCCCTGGCCTACGCTGCCCATGCTCCAGTCGTGACCGCCACCAGCAGCCAGGTGATCGCCAGGAACTACAACGGAATTGCCGCCGCTCCAGTGATTGCTCCCGTGGCTGCTCCAGTGGTCGCCAAGTACGCAGCTGCTCCTCTGGCTGCTCCTTTGGCCTATTCCTCCCCTTTGGCTTACTCTTCTCCGCTGTCCTATAGTGCGTTTGCAGCTGCCGCTCCAGTTCTTCTGTAAGAACGTTGACTGATCTATAATTATATACAAATTAAACGAAATCGAAAGAACTACAAGGGTTTTATTGGGCAACGGAGATACTGTGAAGCTACCGGGAATTTTTAATTGAATTAGCTACTGTCAGCCGTTCGTGGCCATAAACAACAGTAGTGACTGCCCACTCGCACTCCACTGTTTCCGGATGCACATCACGTAGCCGGTGGACAACTTATTGGCCACCGGCAGCCGTCGCTGGATGCGTGATATTTAAAAGTGGCCAAAATGGTTTTTTATGATGTTGTTGTCGACAAAAATTTGTAAATATGTCAAGGTCGCTGAGCAGTCGAGGCCGGGCTAATGAACTTTTGAGAGCTAAGTGATTGAGGTAACGAAATTTATATTATACTGTTTTATGTGTAGATAAGAATAAAAATTTTAAACAGAGAGTCGTAGCTTAAAATGTTATTTTTGCTTTCCGTAAAGATAAAGAAAGTACCCCTAAAAATGTGTTTTTATCGGCCCTAACTTTTTTTACACTGTACAGTGTACACACAGATAGTTTTTACGATCATATTTCATTTATTTATATTGTTAGTAAACGGATATTAAATTAGTGTTAATTTTTTGAAATAACGCTAAACAGCTTTTGGTTTACAGAAATTTGTCCTGTACCTAAAAAAGATATTTATAAAAAAATATTTATTTCCGTTATGAAGGGTATATTTGGTTCGTTTCCGACCTTTTAAAGTATATATGTGCAGGGTCCTCTTTTAGAAAAGATGACGCTGACTTAAATAGTATGATGATATGCTTTATTCACATTCGACTGATTAACTTAGGTTTTACAAAAATATACGGTGCTATTATGAACTGTACTTGCGAGATTCTGGCAGCGAGTAGTATGGGCGGTGCGTTGCCACTTTGCACTCACGTTGCAACTGGGTATCGAATTAACTTAGGAATATCGAGTAACTTAGGAATATCGATACAGAAAGGGAAAGAATTTAGATCAGTAGGGAGACCGCTTCTAGTGGTCCTTGTCTCTCCAGTACCGCATCCCACAATCGGCCCTCCTGACGCAGGATTCGTCCCGAATGCCTTCATGTACTCTGCGACGGTTGATGTCTTATAAGGCCCATCACCTTCTCCTACCCTTTCAACTTCGTATCTTCCATGGTTTCCTACTTTGACTACTTTATACGGCCCTAGGTACTTTCCTTTCAATTTCAAACCAGTACCATACTGGGTGCGTTTAATGGCTACCAAATCGTTCAACTGGAACTTCTTTTCGACCTTTCTTTTTGCATCAAAAGCTTTCTTGTTCTCCGCTTGGATACTCTGAATGTTCTCCCTTGCTTCCTTCCTTAGTTTGTCGCGTTCATCATCTAACTCTGCAATCAAACAATCCTGTATCAACGACTTGAGCTGGACATCTCCTGAGATACGCATATCTAATCCTGTTAACAGTTTGAACGGTGAAACTTTGGTACTCCTTGGCTCAGTGTTGTTTATGATCTGCTGTACCTTACCTACATGCTTATACCAGCACCCTGGGCTTTCAAGGCTTAGTTTGGAGAGCATCGGAACAACTATTTTATGCATGCGTTCTACTTGTCCGTTTCCCTTGGTACGCCCTGTTCTATCAGCAATGTTGGATCTTCTCCTATCGCAGTACTCCTTGAAAGTGGGATGTGAATCAGTCCACGATCTGACACTATCCTAAGGATTTCCAAAACAAACAGCCTGGCGCTCCAAACAATCACTACTCATCAACCCCTGTGCTTCGCGTAGGATACAACCATACGTACTTGGAAAGGCATCTACAATCACGAAGATGTGATTATATCGTTTTTTGGTTAACTCCATCGGACCAACATGATCGACATGGTATGTGACGAGCGGCTTGTCTCCTTTGTCTATCGGTGTAAGAACCCTTCTTGCCTACAGCCTCGCATTCACAAGGATGCACTCTACGCAGCTATCGCCACTCCGACTTTCTTTAGCTTCGGAATGTAGTAGACTCTCAATCAAATCTGAGTTTTCTTGGATGAGAAGTGTCCTTGCTTGTGACTGTTCTGGATGATTTCGGTTTCCATGAGTGAAGGAACTACAGCAATCTTTGTTAGGATCCTTGAACAGAACTTCGTTCACTATGTAGAAGTCTTCATAGCCTTTGGTCTCAACGACACTTTTGAGCACCTTCGTCCAATCATCTAAAGCTGTGCTTCCCGCAAACGATGAAACAAACTGTCAGTCAACGTATAACATGACACCCTACTCAACGCATCAACATGTCTCATCTTCGAACTGACCTGTTCTATTTCGTAGTCGAAATCTTGTAGATACATCGCCCATCTAGACACTCTGAGCGGAATCTCTTCTTCTTCATGGTCATGGTAAAAGCGTTACAGTCCGTAATAATTTTAAACTTCTTCCCTAGAACGTACACCCGCCACTTTACCAAGGCTCCAATAACTGCAAGTACTTCTTCATAGGAATGATACTTTTCTCACATGGCTTGGTTTACGGCTCATGTAGAAAACTGGATGCCACAAGTTATCACAGGGATCTCGTTGAAGCAAAACGGCTCCAAATCCGAACTTGGATGCATCGTATGAATTTCTGTGTCAAGCGAATGATTATAGAGCTTCAGAACTGGTCCACTGATCAACGCTTCTTTTAGCTTTTGAAATGCTGCTAATTGCTGGTCTTGAAACTCGAACTCACCTCCTTGCGTAACATGTCGGACAACGGCTTGGCAATTACGGCGTATCCTTCCACAAACCTACGGAAGTATGACGTCAATCCTAAGAATCTTTGGACTCCTTTCTTGTCGCGCGGAATCGGAAAATCAGCAACTGCTTGAGTTTTCTCATTACCTGGCTTGATGGTACCGTTTTCAACGACATAGCCTAAGAAGTTAACTTTGCGCTTCAACACCTGACATTTACTCCAATTTATGCGCAAGCCATTTCCTTGTGCCACTTCCAAAACTCGCTTCAACTTCTGCACGCCCTCATCGATACTCTTGCTCGAAATGATCACATCGTCCATGTATACAACCGCATCCTCGTTCTTAATCGAATCACGCATAACTGCCATGATAAACCTGGTAAACACTGCTGGAGAGTTTGTTATACCGAAGGGTACAAACAGGAACTCATACTGACCACTCTGAGTTACAACGATGTATACTTTTGGGGATTCTGGCGAAACAGGCACGTGAAAGAAACCATTAGTCAAATCTAGAGTTGTAAAAACTTGTCCACCTTGTAGCTTTTCGATCACACAGTCATTTGAGCTGTTGGGAAGTTATCTCGAACAATCTTTTCATTTAACTTTTCATAATCGCAACACAAGCGCTTCTTCCCGTTCTTCTTATCTACAAGCACCACTGGCGAAGCAACTCGGATGTACTAGGCTTGATTATCCCTTCCTCTAGCCATTCTTGAACCTGGTCATCGACAATTTTCTGATCGCAATAAGCTAATCGTCTCGGGATGTTGGGAAAACAGGCAACTCGTCTGTCAACAAGATCTTCATTCTCGACTGGTGAAGTGAGATTTCTTTTTGGCTTGTAATCATCAATGATCACTTCAGAGCTACTTCCTGACTCAAGTGCTCCTAAATCTACTGCTGAGACTGTCTTAGAGTCTTTCGTGCTGATCATGCACAGACTTTCGAATTCACTAATTAGCTGCATACAAGTACTTGCCCTGCCTGGTTATCGTCTGATCCTGTCGTTGGTCTTTGCTGAACACTTGAACTCTTGGCGAAAATATAGTGCCAGACTTGGTTACCATCATGTCACGCTGTTAAGATTGTTGTGCTAAGATTGCGTCAAACTTCATATCGTCATCTGGTATGACATGAAACTCGACCGACATGTCGATTCCATCGATAACGACCTTTGTAACGAAGCTTCCGAATGTTAGCACCTGACTTTTCCCGATACCTGTCAAAACTCTCTGACGACCCATCAGACTGCCTACTCACGCCTAGCTTCAAGAACACACGCCTACGCCATCAAACACAATTCAGCACCGTGTCCACAAGTCCTTTGAATTCTGAATTCCTACACAATCACAGATTTCAATTCCAAGCTCTGAAGAAAAGGACTCACGCGATGGTTGTGAAACGACTTTATCGTCCTGGACGACATTGGTTGCTCTCTCTGTTTTGACCTGTACATCTGCTTTGCATTGCGGCTGCCGGTGTCCTGGTTGATCGCATTTAAACATTTCTCCTTCACGGGACAGTCTTTCTTCATGTGCGACGAATCTCCGCACCGAAAACATTTCCTAACTGATCCACCTACCGCATCTTGTTTTGTGTCGTGCACAGCCTTGCTACCCTGTAACCATACTTGTTAACTGGTTGGATGATCCACGGGATTTTTGATACCGTCGATTTGTAACTTAAGTCCTTAGGTTCTGGCTGGTATAGCATTGCCTTATTTGATCTAGCATCTGGATCCCTCAACGAAATACTCGATCAAACTTTCTTCCTCAAACAAATGGGCTTTGCAATTTCCATAAGTGCATAAAGGAATCGTGCAAGATTCACCCTTATGCTGCTGTCGTTTTCCCAACCTGCGATGAACTTCTGCTGAGGATAACTTGATTCAACTCCTCCACAAGCCGATTTCAAACTTGCCCAGTCTTTGATATCTCTGGCTACGCACAAACATCTTTCTGCTCCACTAAAGCAACTGTTTTGCATACCACAACAACTGTAAAGGGTTCCACTCAACTGTAGCTGCACAATCTCCAACTCTCCTATCCAATGGTTTATTTGGGAGAACTCGACCCAGAAAACTGCGAAACACTGCCCTCTACATCTTTCAACGTGAACCATGATCTACCCTGCCTTTCTTTCCTAGTCCTTGATGCCAACCTGCTGGCGTTTGGCCGATTTATAGTGGTTTCTGCGGACGTTATGATAGACCATCTTCACCATTATCCTCCGTTTCCGACTCACCATCGTTGTTTAGACCGTAGTAGGTCAACAACCTGTCTTGC